CTATCAGCTGTAGGCCTGCAGGGTTCAACGTTTATCGTTTGCCAGATTAGAGGCCTACCTACACCTACCCGCCGCTGCTTTCAAACTCACTCACACTCGAGTTTTAATGGCCTCTTCCTGCTGTCAAAGAGAGGCAGAGAGGGAGAGCCAGCTGATGGCGAACAAGCAGAGCGGAGCACACATTTGTTTGGCAAAAAACAATAATAAATAGCAAACGTTGTGTGAGACGGCAAGCATTTTGCACTCGAGCGATGAGTCAAGCGCTGCAAAAGCACTCAAAGAGAGTGCGCCGGCGCCGCTCTCCTGCGCTATACTCTCTTTGCTAGCGTTCTTCTGCGACGCTGGCGTTTCACTCAATAGCTCCCCCACAATTTCCTTCGACACTGTTGTTAAACTTTCGTCCACCCTGTGTTATCTAGGCGATTCTGCCAATGTTAAGGCATTCCAGAAGCATGTTACACCAAGTGTCGGCTGCGCAGTCAAGAAACAGCGGCAGCGCTACCTAAACTTGACACTCAAGACCCGACAGCGTCACGGCACTCTCTCTTAAAAACTTAAATACAAATTATTTCCACTCATTCTTCTCTGGGTCTTCGAAAGCAAAAGCTGAGCAAGCAGCGCTCCGCAGCGGCCAGCACAGCACCCGAACAAACACTTCGTGCACTTCTCCCCAACAACACTTTCGAGCAGAGCACAGAGCAGAACCTGGACGGACGCTGCCACGGAACTGTGTGTGGTGTGTGCTAAAAACTATTAACTAAACTCTGCTATTGCTCTCTTCTCTATCGCCCCCTCTGCTCAGTTCGGGCTGCCGTGTCGCCGTGTCGTGCTTAAAAACAATCGGCGATTGACGTTTGTGTTTTTTACTTCGCCAGCTACTGTCGGAATCGGTTGAATCGGAACGGATCGGAACGGGATCAGATCGACAACAAAATCGAAGCGCGAGTCCCTCCCCCCTTAAACTTATACTCGACTTGTGCATACAAAATAAAAATTAATAAAACGCAAAAATCACTCGAGAATAACTGTAAATATTGCAAATAGTAAACGAAACGGGAGAAATGCAAAGTTAATTAAACGGAAATTAAGAGAGAGAGAGAGTTTCGATCAAAGGTAAAGATCTAGTAGGAAATTTCAACTGGCGAAAAAGTTAATAAATTACATAAAATCTCAAGAGCGAAGGCGTTCCAATTTTTGTATTTTGTGCTGTGATGATCGTGGAATAAAACAAAATCGAAAGGAAAAAAAATATCAAAAAATTAAACAAATAGCCATAGAGAAAAACAAAAAAAAATTGACAAAAATAAACTTTATTATGCGTGGAATGACATGCACACACACACACAAACACACTCGAGCAGATAATATATAACTTAAAGTATATATAATGCCTATTTTAATCAGAGTGCTGTGTGTGAGTGTGTGCGAAGTAGATTATCAAAATCAGCAGCGATCTGGTCCGGTCCACGTCCAGATCCAGATCCAGATCCCCACGTCCAAGCACATATTGGAAAAGTGTATGCAAACGTTTGTTACCCTCGGTCTGAAAGCCGCTTCTGAATGTTCTTACAGCGCGATTTAAAAGTTAATCCAACGAAAGTGGGAGAAAGGAAGAAGAGACGAAAGTTTTACACAACACTCGGTCCTAACCTGCAATTGCAGTTGCATTCTGCGTGCATTCGCTGTCGGTGCCTCTGCCGTTGTCCAAAAATGCTCTCTCCGCCTAGTAGGCCTCACTCTCCCACTCTCAATCACTCTCTTCGCTCCACAGACCAGGCAGTGATGTGTGTTTTGTTCCTTCTTCTTCGTTGCGCTTTTGCGGGGCGAGGCGGGAAAGAGAGCCGCATTGCATTTGCAAATTTGCATTACATAAAATTGCTGAGCGAGCGTTGGCATTTGTTTATGCCAGAATATAGAAATTAATTAAAGGTAAAGTGTGCGTTTAATTGCGAGAGCAACTGTGGAGGGGTCTGTCTGCCATCCGTGTCCAGTGTTTGTTCCGTGTGAGTGTTTGCTGTGCATCTCCCTCCCCACTCGCTCGCGGGGGCAAACCAATTGATTACACAACTCCCCGAGTAAACATATTCTCCTCAATTTCTGTCAGTTGTACGCTCTTTTGATCTGCTTAATTCAGGGTCCATTGTGCCTGCATGCCTCCTCCCCTCTACCAATCCAGCATACGCTACTGGCTTTTTTTCGTTCATTCAATTTACTACACACACACATGGACAGCGACACACTCATCTCGCAGAGAGCAATTACTGCTATTTTACGCTGCGTTGGTCCATGCGTTGGATCTAGGGGATGGTCGCGGGAGCAGGGGATCCACTGTAGCCGTGTGCCCGTTATTGCTCTGCAATTTAAATCAGCGGAAGAGGAGAAAGGAGGAAAGAGCAACAGAATACACAGCCTCTGCTTATGTCTCTCTGTCTCTGTCTATGTTTGTTGTCGTCTGCTTGTTTTGTTTCTCACCTCTCTCTCTCTCTCTCTCTTTATGGGCGCTGCTTCTGTATCTCTGTCGCTGCTCTGCTCTTCTCTCTGTTCTTTTTTGCCTCTGCCTTCGACGCAATTTGTTACACAATAAGAAATTGTTGCTTTAATTTACATCTGTAGCTCTCTCCTGCACCCTCCCCCTCCGCATGAGAATGCGCTCCTCTTGTTTCAAAGATCTATTTGCATTGCCGATGCATTACTAATGTGCTCTTAAATGTGTTACTATCATTCCACTCCTCCTCTCTCCCTTCTACTTGTACTTAAACTTCGTTTAGTTGCGCTCTTCGCACTCGGTAATTAATTTTTGCATTTCCACACAAAGACAGGGGGAGAGAGAGAGAGAGCTTTGCTGTTTCCAAGCCATAAGTGCGAGCGGGAGGTTGCATACATCAGGCGATGGAACATCAGCACTGCAGCTGCTGCTGCTCTGCTGACTCCGCACTTCAGCTTCGACGCGGGCTCTGGGCTCAGACGAAACGCGACTGGGGGCCCACAGTTCAAAAGCTCTGGGGATCGATAGTGCGATAGTCCCGTTATCACTTATCAGCCTCTGGTGCACTTTTCAAACACTTCATTCCCACTCCACTCCACTCCACTACCCACTCACCACTCCCCACTCCGCTCGAGTGGATCCCTAATTACGATGATGTGATGTAAGCCTTTTCGGAGCCCTGGAACGGAACGGTGTCTGGTTCTAACTGGTTGCAACAGGCACAATCCACAGTCGGGCAACAATTGGCGATCCCCCGCTACAACAAAAGAAGATGAAGCAATTATTTAAATGTATCTGTGTGTCTATTCTGTTCTGTATCTGTGTGCGCTGTATCAGGTGGGTGTGTCATCCATCTAGATCCATTGGTTCCGCCCCCACCCACACTTTCCGGGTTACGCAACGCACGCAACTCCCGAAATGACATTGGAAACCCCTCAAAGTGGGCTGGTCACCTCGTTGATGGGCTGCTATCTATCTACATTTCTATCCATCTATCTATGTATGTATTTAGATTGAAAACCCCTTCACTTCAATGTCGCACATGACTTTGCACCTCCGCAAAGAGTCCCGCCCCCAGGGCGCCCCCGAATTGTGGCTCTGGTACTTTTGGTATTTCACCAGAGGGACGAGCCCCCAAAAACCGACTACTTCGACTACCGTCAGTGGTTGGACTTGGTGTCTGAAATCTCAAATTATAAATTATATTCCATTGTTTGTTGTTTTTTCGCTGATGATATTCCGCCTCATCATGTCCAGCACTTGAGCCGTCGACGCACAAATATAGATCGAGTGTTTTCCGTAATGTTCAGTCGTTCAGCCGCTCCAGCTTTGAATATCGTGTGATGATGATGGCGCCTTTATCACGATCAGACCCGGCTGTCGGGTCGGGGCATTCCACGGGGACTTCACGGGGGCCCCACGGGGGCTTCACGCGTCTAACGGTTGATACTCACCCGCTCCATGCATGCACACCTCACGACCATTAGCCCAGAGGTAGGGGCAGGGGGCAGCTGCCTGAGTCGGCCGATCGTGAAGGCACACACTATCTTATCAAAGACAGGCAACAAAAACATTTGCAAAACAATCAAATTTGGCCGAGAGGCGCCGAACAGTGCTCGCTGTGTTGCTGTGCTCGCTCTCCTCTCTCTCTATCTCTCTCTTCAGAGATAACTGATATTCGGAGGGGCAGGCGCCTTATCAATGTGGGTCCGGTTAGAAATGGGAGGGGGGGTGGAGGGGATTTCTATGGTTCAGCCTTCAGCTCTTGTGTTATTGCCTTGTGAGACATCGGACACACCCACCTTCCGTGCGAGTAGTGCCATTCCATTCGCTATCTATCACGGCTGTTCGCTGAGTGATCCCCGAACGCGTCGCTACTGATTTTTGCCTGGATAACTGATAAGAAGCGATCGCTGGATGCGTGGAATCCATGCTCTCGATCGATTGGGTGTGGGGGTGACCCCGAAATCGGGTGTCTCGGCGGCAGCTTATCGGCAGAGGAAAATTTTTCAATGCTGGTTGTGAAATTTAATAGTGGAAACCAGAACAGACCTTGCCTCCATGTCCATCGTTAACTATGTAGTTAATCAGAGGGAGACCTCCTTAGTTAGGCAACACTCCCCAACTCCCCAGGGTGGGGGCTCAATTCGGCTCGTTAGAGGGGGGGGACGCGACCTAGTGTTAATTTCTAAGTCTGCTAATTGCTAATTACTAACCAGAGAACAAGTGCGATGCAGCTGCCACACAGCTGCTGCCACACGCGACTGTGATTGTGATTCTGTTTCTGATTCTGTGTGTGTGCAGATACTTTGTTGAAAGATGCATTGTGAAGCACATGCATTTTCAAGATACGAGAGTATCTACCCTACCCTACCGTGTGCATCGCGCGCTTTTCTCTGTGCTGTGGGTGTAACAAACGAGTGCAAACGCGAAAAGAACCAGAAAAGAACCGACATATCCATATCCTATAAATATAAATCATTACGAAACGCGCTTCGATTCGTCATTCTTGCAGTAATCTTGAGAACAAACATGAGATTTACTCACTCGCTCAGCAAACGGCGGCAAGTGAGCAAAAGGAACAACCACAGCAGCAACAAGCAGCATCTGACATCGACAACAGCAACAAAAACACAGAAAAAACAACAGCACACAAGGAAACATCAATCTGCGAAACAGCAAAGGCAATCGAAGCTCCAATAGAGCTTGAGGAGAAGCCCCAAGCAGTTGAGAGCAAGGAAACAACGACGGAAATCAACAACAATCCAGAGCCAGAGCTGTTGGACAGCAAAGAAAACTCCAATTGCAACAGAAATTGCTGCTGCTGCTGCTGCAGCAAACCCACCAACAACCACAACAAGTGAAATAACATCCGCTAAACCACCTAACCACCAACAACAACTGCAGGCAGAACTCCAAATCAAGCGGGAGAACCACTCTCCGGGTCCCCGCACCATCACAGCACAGCTGATCAGCAGCACCAACAACAACTGCAGCAGCCTGCGGATCGAGGAGAAGCGCCCCAAGTCGGTGACTGCTTCGGTGTTCCGACCCAGTCCTGCGCCTGCCTTAACGCCACCACCCACATCCCCAGCAGTAGGAGCAGGATTCAAGAAAACAGCAGAACCAACTCTGCCCCCGACAACAACCGCAACGGCAGCGATTCTCTCGTCGAGCAATCAGCAGCAGAATCCACAGCAGAATCTGCAAGCGACTCAAGATATGAGTAAGGGATTCCTATCATTCGCTGACGATGGACGAGGCCTAACAAGTGAGTATCCAAGTCATCAGTTACAAGTCAAACCACTCTGCTAATCCACTTTTTAAATGTATTTAGAACGAACTCAATTCGGTTGGGGATCATCTGCTGACACGCTGATAAGGTGATAAGCGGAAGGGTAGAAAAACATTTCATCAAAGTAAATCCATCAAATGCATCAGGTGCAGCGCTGTGTTCAAGGCTGAAGAGTCAACGTATCACCGCTGCGCCGCTCACCAACACTCATTGACGTTCACCAACACTTGCACACATGCCTTCTAACGTTTGGATTGTTTATAAATTCTATGCAAAAATACGGGATGGGGGTAACGAGGGGCAGAACTTTTAGTGACGCGCGATATTTGATGTGATTTGACGCATTGTCGTAACCCACTGAGGCAGCGCAGGTTCGATTGGTTGATTGGTCAGTCATTCAGTCAGTCACTCAGTCAGTCGGTTTGCTGCTTTTTCCGCTTATCTGCCAGTGCCTGACTCTGGCCGCAATTTGCGCAAATAAAACTATTTATTTGCAAAGACAACAACACAACAGGGCACAGCTCATTCCCATTCTCCCACTTCCCACCCCGCCACGCCCCTAAAATTGCATTTAGTAAACAATGTTCAGTGGTCGCCTCGCCTGATAAGTGCATTCATAATATATATATATATATATAGAGATATATAAGCGAGTATATAGTCGTATGCGGCGAGTGGTTTCCACTCCCCACCCAACCGCATGCCGGTTGCCAGTGCATTTTCCGACTCTAAGCGGCGGCCCCTCTTATGTCACATTACGCATACGCAGCGTATTCTAATGGAATGACAATTCAAAATGTAACTAGCCCCCAAGGGATCGATCATAAATGCATATGGATTCGCTTTGGCTACTTCCTATCCCTATTCCTATAATATGTAATGAATCAAAAGATCTCTCAGCGACTTATGAGTATCCGCTTAGGTTCCCTTCCTTTCATCTATAGAATATAAATTAATAGAAAGCCTAACAAGTCTATGAAGCAGTATACAGGCCTCTCCAGTGTATAGGGGATCTGGGAGGAAGCGAGAAACAAGCAGCATAGGAATCTAGAGCCACTCCGCTTCTTCATGCTGCCAATGAATCAATGTAAGCTCTCGATCAATGAGAGCTTTCGCTTAAGATCAATCCGTCAGATCTCATGCTGTGGAAAAATACCGATGCTGCTCTGTCTCTCCAATTGTGTGTGTGTGGCAGCATCCGAAAACCAATTGGAAATTTTAGATATTCTTTTTTTGTGGCGAGAGAATTTTGTGTGTGGCTTTTTTTTGTCTGTTCTGTTCTGTTCTTTTCTGTTTTGTTTTTATTTTTCTTTTTTGGGGGACCACTTGCACGCTTCTGTTGCCTGGTGACAAGAGCACAAAATATGAATATTAACTTGAGCCAATTAATATGTTAAGCGATGCGCGGCTGTCGTCGCACGCAGAGGGACGAACGGAGAGGAGTAGGAGAGTGAAAGAGTGGAAAAGAGCAATAGAAGCAGAGAGGGAGAGTGGAATGTTTTGGCGCGTGTGCCAAGGTCCGGCCATGGATCAAGCGGATCTGTCTCGCATGTGTCCCGCTCCCCTTCCAGCACCCCCCTATGCCACCTGCCCCCCACAGCCACATAGCAGCACAACCCTCATAACCCTCTGCTGCCTACACTTTGAGTATTTTTGAAATTCCTCCACCACCTCTGAATGGGGCGGACCTGCAGCATCCCCCCGCCTATGCCTATGCCTCGAATCGCTTTCGCTTTTGTTTCGGACTCTTTCTGTTGACATTTTGCGCTGCCTGCCGCAGATACTCAGATACTACAGATACAGATACTTTTCCCCCCATTCATTACCCCTCGCCGCGCCATTTTCTATATTTATTTTCGTTTCGTGGAACGTAAATAAACAGGAAAACGCCGCAACGCCGCAACTTTGGCTTTATTTTCGTCTCGTCTGCAACTTTGGATTCAGGGATCATCGATTCCGTCTGGCAGGAAGGGGGTTCTAGAATTGTGGGTAGTTTTCTTTCAAACTTGAAATATTCCGCTCGCCTTATCAGCATTTGAATACGATTGTAATCCAGAAGATTGTCTCGAAGGCGGAATGGCATTGCATTCCACTGCAGGGGCGGCGGGGGGCACACACATCCCTTTCCTGATGGCTAACCAATTGACAAATAAACAACAACAGAAGCTTCACTGTAATTGCTTTATGCTGTTATCCGATCCGCAATCTTCAAAAGCAAATATTTGTAACGATAACAGAATGGGGGGAATAAAAACAAAGCAGGAACACGAGCAGCAGCACTTTTGTCCATAAATATGCCCCAATAATATACAATTCCATTTATGGGGCGACAGCAATTATGCTCACACGGGTCGATGGGGCATGACGTGTAAACGCACTTCTGTCGTGATTAGCACGAGTCCAACACGACTGCCCATGCACACAGGGACAGGCAGAGACTCTCCTCTAATCATATTAACGGGATGGGATGGGATGGGATGATGATACCGCGCCGCCTGTACGGTACGGCAGTTCAAGTTCACCGTCGCTTCAGTCGCTTCATCGCTGATTGTCTGAGAGTCGTCTGTGGCTCTGTGTAAATTTGTCAATATTTTTTGGCTCTTACATATAAAAAAAGCATCGCCCTGTGGCCCTGTTTTGTCTCTGGCTTTGGCTTTGGTCGCCCCTTAAGTGCCAGTGTCCGGCAGGCATGTTCGATTCTGTCTCTGCTTTTTCTGATTCTGATTTGAAAGTACGTCACGTCACGACACGACACGAGAACGGAGAGGCGTAGAAGCTGCCTTTTCAATTGCAAGAATGATGACATAAATTTATTTAAATTGAGGCTGTTTTTCGCTTTGGTTCTCCTTCCATCTTTCCATCTGAAGATTTCCCTCCACAGTCACGCGTCTGTCTGTCTGTATGTATATGTATCTGTGCCTGTATCTCGTGTGTTAATGCGGCAACCTGTTCCCTCCCCAAAAAACTTTCGAATACACACGCGCCACACGATGTTCAAGTGCACACCGAATGTGGCTCAAGTGCAGAGATGCCTTTCACATGCTGCCTCCCATTCCATTGGGTGACTGAATCACTGGGTGATGGTCACAGTCGCCGTTGCAGTTGCAGTTGCAATCACGGCTCAGCCTTCAGCCTATTCTCATCTCTCGAGTCGCCATCGACGTCGTTGTAGGCCCAGTTAGCCATTTAGTTGGCCGCTAAATACAATCTCCAGCGTCGGGCCCGGCCTTGCACATTTGATGAACTGCACTCGATTCTGAGGGATCAACAGGGCAGTGCAGTCTAGGGGGGGTGGCAGGTGGGGTGCTTTGTATTATCATGCGCCATAATTTCTGTTGTTTTTTCCGCAAAAGCCTCGGCGACAGCGATGCCAGCGCTTGAGTAGCACTCGAGTGCCATAATTACAAGTCACAAATACACTGCCGGGTACTGGGTGCTGCCTCAAGGGCAGAGGGGCAGGCGGTACAGGGGGAAGAACACCTTTAGGCGTGCATTGTTAATTAATTTGTTTGTGTCGAATGCAGCGACCGCAAGAGCAAGTGCCAGTCGCAGGTCCCACGTCCCAGTCCCAGTCCCAGAGGCAGGGCTAGAGACAGCGGGAATGAGTGTTCCCCTCAAAAGCTGTGCAAAAGCCCTACAGATAATCGGATCTTTATTGTTATATTGCTTTATTGCTACTATGTATATACTGGGATGGAGAGTTGTGTGGGCTGAAAATAGATAGACAGGGAGAAAGCTAAGCCACACTGGTAGCGAGAGAGATAGGCTCCTCCTGGCCAACCTCTGCTTATATGGCTGCTGCTGCTGCTGCTCCTACTGTTGTCGGAGGGATTTATGGCTCTCTACGGAAGTAAGCCCCCTGCAATGCATTCACACACACACACACACTCACACTCACATTCCTATCCATAGACTCACGAATGCATTTGAAATTCTATTTGGCCTGCGGTCGGCCGCTGTCTGTTGCTTTTCCCATTGCATTGCAACTTAATAGTCGCCCGAACGCCGCAGAGGCGGTTGGGACCAGTTTTATTAGCATATATACCATATATACATACATATGTACATATACATATACTCGTATATGATGGGAGGGATAGCGGATCGATTGGCAATATTGGGGCATGGGACCGAGTCAGCTGTCCGTGACGCGCGCCACATCCCAAGCGGATGAATCTGAATCCCCGGGGTCAGGGGTTGCTGCAGATGATAAGCGCCTTGCACCTTTGCCAGTCATATCGGATTGATGCTCTCACGGGAGTTATTCAATTCAGGAAAAATTAGTAAAAATAATAATAAGGTGCAACCTACGCTGAGATTCTCTGATTTTGATTTTGATTCGGATTCGAATTCTGATTCTATTTTCTGTTTTTCGTTTGCTTTGTCCGCACTTTTTCCGTTTGCGTCAAAAGGGGTTCGCTTTTGCTGATAGCGTCGCCCCAAAGTGCTGATTAATGAGTCCTCCCTCCCTGCTCTGCTCTACGACAGGGGAGGAAGAGTTATGAGAGCCATAAAAATCATGGCTCGATTTCGATGCGATGGGGCACGGGGAAAGAGGTAGTGGCAGCCATCGACTAGGCGACTAATTCACGGAGGAAACGCTTTCAATTAGATTCAATTGAGACGAGCTGTCAATTAGAGCACAGCTCTGGCTATGACTCTGGCTATGGCTATGGCTATGGCTATGGCACTGACGATAAATGAATTTTCGGCAACGGCAAGGGTTCCATTAATTAACAGCCACAAAATGTAGCGTAGATGACAAACCACCGAATTGAGAGAGTTCTAGCATCGAAAAGCAGGAGGAAACCAGGAGAAACCGATACTAACCGACTCTCTCTCTGTCTCTGTTTCAGTGCTTAAGGAGGAACCCGACGACCTGTCCCACCATTTGGCCTCGACCGCCTGCATCCAGCTGGACGAGATGACGCCCTTTAGCGACATGCTGGTGGGCCTCATGAGCTCCTGCCTGCTGCCGGACGAAATCAACTCCCTGGACTCGACCACCTGCTCGACGACGACCAGCGTGGCGCCCCACTACCAGAGCAGCAGCCACAGCGGCAGCCAAAGCAGCAGCTACGCCAGCAGTCCCCTCAGTCCGCTTACGCCCACAGGAGTGGCGACCACAGCAGGATCGAATGGGAGCCACAGCAGCAGCACTCCCAGCATCCACAGCAACAACCAGCATCACGACAATAGCAACAGCAGCAGCAGCAACATAGATCCGCTGTTCAACTATCGCGAGGAGTCGAACGACACGAGCTGCTCCCAACATCTCCATTCGCCCAGCATCACATCGAAGGTGAGAAGGATCCACACGATTTCTAATGACAATCGCTAACCCATTTCTCTTTTCGCTTTTAGAGTCCCGAGGACAGCAGTCTGCCATCGCTATGCAGCCCCAGCTCGCTGACCCAGGAGGATGACTTCTCGTTCGTGGACTTTGAGATGCGTGCCCCCTACATCCCGATGGGCGATGACATGCCCCTGCTCACGGAGACGGACCTCATGTGGTGTCCGCCCGAGGATATGCACGGATCCATGCCCAAGGAGATCGATGCCATTCAGCAGCAGTTGCAGCAGCTCCAACAGCAGCAGCACCACCACCAGCAGCAACAGGCGTACAGCCAGTACAACCAGCAACAGCAGCAACAGCAGCAGCAGCATCAACAGCAGCAGCAGCAGCAGCAGCATTTCTCCAACTCCTTGTGCTCGTCACCCGCTTCGACAGTCTCCTCACTGTCGCCATCGCCAGTGCAGCAGCAGCAACAGCAGCAGCATGCCGGAGGAGTCTTCACCACCGATTCGAGTGAACTGGCAGCCCTGCTCTGTGGCACGGGCAATGGAACGCTCTCCATCCTAGAAGGGAGTGGAGGATCCGCCGCGGAGGAATGCTCCGAACGTCTTCAGCAGCAGCAGCAGCAGGCCACCAGCGACTTTCGCAGTTTCCAGCAATTGCAGCAGGAGTTGCAATTGCAGGAGGAACAGCAGCAGCAGGATCAGCAACGTCAGCACCAGCAGCAGCAGCAGCAAATGATCAGCCTCAGCATCGAGTGCAAAAAGGAAAAGTACGAGGTGCCGATGGCCCCCAGCTTGACTCATTCCATCGAGGATGCATTTGAGAATGACTACAGCAAGGATTGTAAGTATCAATGGAGACGAAAACAAAATCCGTCCATGTTTTGAGATAGATAGGAAGGGGAATAGATTGGGGGCTGGATTCTTCCACGAAACTGTCGCTTCCTCCTGCACTTGGAGAGGCCTAATTTTATGGCATTGCCTGACTAAAAATATCCCACAGAAAAGAGAAAAAAACATTATGTTTGCTTTATTTTTTATGATATGCTGCCAACGCACACACACGAATATAGCCTGAAACACGCCACACACCACCTACCACACACCACACACGCACTTCAACGCCTACATGTAAAAATAGAGGAGGAAAAATAGAAGAAAACTTGGGGGAAATTTTAAGAAATATTGTTGCGTGTCGCGGAAGATGTCACTGTGGCTGGACGGAGGGGGAGCTGCGGGAGAGCTAATTGATGTGGATCCAAGTTTTTCCATTCCATTGCCCCGTTTTTTTGGGTCTCTTTCGCTTCTTGGGCAGCAGTCGCGGCTCTTCTGAAGGGAAAGTGCTTTGTAAACGATTTTGCGTAATTTTCACACATTGCTCTCTTACCTTTGACACATGTCAGGGGAGGGTCTGTCCGTCTCCATCCTGATTGATGCCTGCCACAGCCCCATGGCCCTGTCAGCTGTATTGACTGCAAGTGCCTCCAGATGTGACAGGCAGGTGGGGAGTGGGAGATGCCTTTTAGGCCTTTGTGATATTTCCACCTTTGGCTAATCTCTGCCTGATTTATGCCACTCGCAAACACTCTCACATACTCATAGATACAGAAAACTGTATCTATTCTATTATATTATATTCCATTCGAGTAGATACGTGGATACACGGAGAAAGATACGGAGACAAAGGCAGCAGCAAATACACAGATACAGCTGCATACATATATGTATGTATGTATCCGCAGATTCAGAAGATTCTCTCAATTATTTATGTGCGAAATGTTCTGGCTCTCCTGGTGGCAGGCAAAATATTATTGTTTTAAATTAGCATCAATGTCATGGGCAAAGGAATTAATTTTGTCTCTGAATCGAGGAGCAAGAGGCAGGAGAGGGGCAGCAGGGTCAGGGATGGGGCAGGGATTAGGCAGCATGTTTCGACATCCCACAAGAATTCACCACCGCCATTTCCCCTTCCATTTCCATTGGGAATCTTATATGTATGTATATAAATTTTGCTAACGAATGTCTGCCTGATTCTTTTAGCCTCCAATCTGGACTGCTGGGACCTGCTGCAGATGAACGTGGCGGAGGCCGCCGTTAGTCCGGCCGCCTCGCCCTCCCCCTGCAAGGTGACGACCATCCAGCTGCTGCAGCACCAACAGCATCAGCTGCAGCAGCAGCAGAACATCATATTGAATGCTGTGCCATTGATAACCATTCAGAACAACAAGAGCATCCTGCACCAGCAGCAGCAGCAGGAGCAGCTTCAGGAGCTAATGCTGACCGCCAAGCAGCAGGCACCCGCCGCCACCATGAAGCTGCTGAATGGAGCGAGCATTGCGCCAGTGACCACGAAGGCAACCATTCGCCTGGTGGAGAGCAAGCCGCAACAGACAACGACGCAGCAGCAGCAGCAGCAGCAGCGCCTCGGAAAGGCAGCTATGCTGCAGACCCTCGTTCCCCAGCAGCAGCAGCAGCACGGGAACAAGCGGCACCTCAACAGCCAAGCGAGCCAGGGGAACCAAGTGGAATCAAAGCGATTGAAGAGCGGCACCCTCTGCCTGGACGTGCAGTCGCCGCAGCTGCTGCAGCAGCTGATCGGCAAGGATTCGGCCCAGCAGCAGACGCTGGCGGCCAAGAGGGCAGCCGGCGAGCGCTGGCAGCAGACGGCGGAGGGCAAACAGCAGCAGAAGCTCCAGCAGCAGTCGAACTCGGTGCTGAAGAACCTTCTCGTCAGCGGACGTGATGTAAGTGCCGGCTACTGCATTGTGCCAATGCGGCCCAAGAAGCAGCTAGCCAAGGTCTAGACTCCAGACTCTAGAGGTTCTAGAGTCAGGAGACCACAGACCAGAGACCTTCACCCGCCTCTCAATTAGCTAATGGAAGCCAACGCCAACCCAAACCCGAAGCCAACGCCAAGGCTATGATTAATCCAAGGAGTTGCTAAGTTACTCGTAAACCACACGGACAAGCCCATTTCTACAATTTGTCTTTGTAAATGGATCGATTTTATATAAAACTAAAACAAACCTCTCAAGTGAGAGTGGGGGGCGTTATAGTCGTGTAGTCCTTAGACCTAGGAAGTAGCCGATAGCCGATAGACGATAGACGATAGCCCTAGATGATAGCCCTAGATGTGTAAGAGCTGCAGTTGCAGCTGCAGCGTGGACTTTAAAATTATAAATTTGTAGACTATTTAAAATAGTGCGAATGCGGATGCAGATGCAGATGCGAAGCGGGTGAGATGAGATGAGATGACGAGGATGTATCGCGTGTATCTTTAATCTTTAAGTTTTAGCTTGGCGCGCGATTTGTTGATTTCATTTTAAGTTGAGACCGTAAGCCATAAGCCATAAGCATGTTGTTATACCTTCTCTGTTCTGTTGAGCATAAATACTATACTATTCTGTTGTACATAAAATAAAGCTAAAACCGTAGACATAGGCAAAGCGATTGATAGATCCACCGCGAGTGCATCACAGATCACGGCGGATCGACAGATCGCAGACTCCGGACGTAGTTAGAGGGGATGCGCTAAAGCGATTAAGCGATAAAGCGCAACTGATGACGTATGAGTAAAACAATTGCAATAAAATTGTAAACTATAAATTCAAATATGGCAACTTTAAGTTTTTTACTGTGATAGCATTTGCTTTTTTTGTTTGAGTTTCTGATTCTTAATTCTTGATTATTGTTGATTGATTCTGGCTGATCTGATCGATCATCCCTGTATTGTATCCTTTGATCCTTATAATTTCTGTTGCCTTATTCGAAGAATTCTGAATTTGTTAGATGTGTAAGCAAAGCAATTGGACTGAGGCAGAAGAAGTATGTACGGGGAGTGGAGGATAGAGACAGGTCATAGAAAGAGATGGACAGAGACAGGAAGCGTTTGATTCGAATTCATTTTTGGGCTTTTTCGTTGTTTGTTTGTTTGTTTGTTTTGGAAGAATGAAAATACTGTAACAAAAACTGTGTAAATTGTCAAGATTTGTGAAACGAAAAGAGTAACAAAATTGAACATTGAAATTCGAGCGCTGAACGTACAAAAAAGAAGAGGAAGCAAGTGAAAAATCCCTAGATAATACAACTAAGACAAAAGAAAAGAAAACAGAACCCACTTTAAGCTAGAAGACAAATTCTGTGCACTAATTCTCTAGTGAAAAGTCAGACACACACAAACACAAACACACCACACCCTCACCTATACCCTTATCTATATACATATATGTCTAAATATATGATATATATATAAAAATACATAAACATAAACTATTAGCAATTAAAAGAACAATCCTCGTCAAACAACTCAACGGATTATATATATATATATACATATATATATATAGATACGTACGATATATAGTATATAGTAAAAGTAATAGAGCGTATATAGAACAAACCTCGGGTCGCCACTGAAGCTTTAACTTGGCCTCCGACTCCGACTCCAACTTGGATACCGCGTAGCCGAAGCCTTTGATTCGTTTGTAATTTAGTTTATAGACCTTTTGTTTTGTTTATATTATTTGTAGCGTTTTAATACACACACATAAACGAAGGAGTGATTTTTCCAAAAAACAGAAAACCTTATACATATATTTATGTATATTATTACTTTAATTGTTTTGATTTTTCCTTCCATTGAATATTTTAAAAACCTTTTATTGATTTTCTACACTGTGCCACGTACTGACCTACATACATCATGCCTCTCTGACGAGTGGGGGGGTCAGCGGTCGGGGTCCGTATTACACAACGAATAACCTATTGTGTCGTGAGGCCCCCGCACTCACTCTCCCTTGCTTACCAGCTTAATTAACTTTGCCTCTGGCCCCTGCCAGGCCTTGTCGTGTCTGACGCACATTTTCCCCCTCTAGATGGATTGAGCACCCTCCAGAGCCAGCACCCGAAAACGAATCCAAAATTATAAATATCCAGATGGCAAATACTAGTATACAGACAGTCGTACGAGTGTAAGGCAAACAAATTTACACGCAACTGCCCTTCCCGTTCCCCTGCCATGCCCCTGCGGCAGTCGTCACCCTTCCTGCCACAATTTAAAATGTCAGAGGAGAGCGCCTCCTACACGATTGACACTACTTTAGTCAGGCCATTGAGCTGGGATTCTCTCGGATTCCATGCCCAGCAGATCCCGGCAGCACATTAGCATTCCAGCGCGTGCCGCATTCTCGCTTGATTTTCCCTTCCGTATTGATTTTGCACCTCTCTTAGGCCCACTCCCAACGCCCCAACTCCCACTCTCATCTGTGTCTATCCTCTGGCTGTTTTATTTTGCTTTTTTGGAGCACACAGCTGACACAGCTCTGGCTCTCCGCTAAGTCTCACTCTCACTCTCTATCGCTCTCACTTTCACTTTGACTTTCGCTTTTCGTTTAGGCCGAAGGAGAGAGCCAACGCCAACTCTCTTTGCCTCAGCCGCAGTCTCTCTTTCTGTTTCTGTTTCTGCTTTGCGGCACGTGTCCCTTATATATTCGGGTGCCCGGGATGGGTTGCTCCGCTGGTTTTATGGGAAACACGAGCTTCCCAGCCCAGGCCCAGGCACAGGCACAGGCACAGGCACTGACACACGGCACACAGCACTTGTGCGTCATGGCTGCGGTGGTGTCTCCTGGTAAGGCCTGCACTAATGAATCGTCCGCTTCCCCTAATTGGCTGCGGTACTTGCAGCATGCTGTCGGGGACTGTCACCGGCACCGGACCAGACCCTGGCCAATTTGCATTATCCTGCGAGACATGTGTGTGCGTGGGCAAATATTTGCTGCCTACTTAGGGGCGTTCTATGCATCATTTACTTTATTTCTCTTGCTTTTTGTATACTTTGTTATGTGTTTTGTTTGTGCTGCTTTTTTGTTTGTGGAGGCTTCAAAGAGAAGGCTTCTCTGGTCGAAATAGAACAATTCATAGGAGAAATTGCCAGACAGACAGACAGATCGGAACCGAACCGAACCGAAACTACCTCGCGGGCACCTCATGGCACTCGCAGTACTGTAAACCGAAACTACCTCCGGAACGGAACAGCCATCAAAGAACTCTCAACGAAACAAAATGAAGGCCAAGCGTGTTCTCTCGCAATCAGCTCAGAAATTATAGGAAATTATACTGTTAGCAGGAATCCGCGAGACGAGACTAACACACTAACATTTAACATTTAGAAAAATTGAAAAGCAATCCTTGAGTCCTGTATGTAGCATTAGGCAGAAGAAGAAGAAACTAACTAGACAAATACCGTACATATACATATATACAGACAATTAGCATATACATACCTATATGTATTCCTCTCGATAATCATTTAGTCAGAGCTAAATCCAGATGCAGATCCAGATCCAGCTCGAGGCGAGTCCGAGTCCGAGGCGGATTTGAGAATATTTGAATAATTATTATAGCCCGAAAAGACTGTGAGCCGAAAACTCTCAAAAATTATATACACAACTCGAAACTTATACATAGATATAAGCAGGAAGCCCTGGGAGATGTAAATACATACATACATATATAAGAAAGGATAAAATTCGAAGGAAGGAAACACCAGAGAACCGAAAGTAAGCTAGAGAACTCTCAAAATTAATCGATGTGGCTTTAACTAAAATAAAAACTAAAGAACTAAAGAACTATAGGGACATCCACTAATCTACATAATAATAGATATGGGATAGGATATCGAGACGATAGTATTACGACCCCCAGAGCAAGTCAAATTTGAATCGACTAACGATAACAATAACATTAACATTAACGACTTCATATGTTTATACGATCAATGATCCCCAATACCCAATCCCCCCCATCCCACATTTAGTTGAATTTTTCGCGTTACGTATGGCAGAGAGAAGGAAATAGAGAGCAGGGATAGGAAAGGGAGTGGGAATCGGAATGGAAATGGAAAGCAGAGAAGAAATGGGCGGAAGATAGCTTTATCGAGACGGAGTGCAAAGAGATCGAGAATCGAACAGAAAGTACATACAACACCACAAATATACCACATATACCTCAGTACATGCATAAGTACAGTACGATCGTGTAGGCCGACCGACTTGAGCGGTGCGGCACTCACATACTACTACCTCGTGTACACATACATATGATATGTATCCTCCGGAGTAAAGGAGGTCAATGCCAGCGCATCACCAAAGACATTATACATTTAACTAAAATATACATACATATACACACATACCTCTAGTCCCCGTATACCTATAGTCAGTCCCCTATACCCCTATACACCTATGCCTAAACCTAAACCTAATCCGACATTTGATAGTTCAATACACCTCTTAGTGAATGTTGTGCGACCCTTTGATTACGATTAAAAATACAAATACAAATACGATTACCATTACGAATACGAGTGAGCCCTATATCCCACCCCCAATGGGGATGTGGATGAGGCGAATCGTTTTTTACTACCTCCCATTCTTGTTGTATGTGTCTCGCATTTATAGCAAAGGATTAGCTAAACTAGAGCCCAAGTATGACTAAACTAAACTAAATTAAATCTTAAAAGCTAAACCAAATCTAGAGCAAGTAACGTAAACTTAAAGTAAACTAAATGTTGTGTCATTTTTATAGCCTAAAACCTACATACCTCGGAAAACGAAAACGAAATGCTTCAGAGTCAAGTAAAGTAAACGAAACGCAAAGTACATTTTAGTGAAATTTTTGTGAGAAAATAAATCATGCATAAGCCTCCTTCTAGTACACCCTACCACACCCTCAACACCACAACACACCACACCACACCTTTCCCCACTCTCCCATCCCTAAATCAGATTTATTGTGCGACTTTATTAGCTGTGCTGTAATTTTTGGCTAGCAAATAAAGACAAACAAGCGAGGTGCTGCTCACTCATACTACACCCTCTACACCCATGACATTTCCGTTCCACGGCGGCAGCTCTCGATTCAGCCGACTCATCATAACTCAAGTCAAAGACGAAGTCAAACTCAAAGAGAGTCACGTCGGAGGTGACAAGCACTTTGTGCCCCCGCTGCAATTGATTTGGCGGCTGGATGATTTTGATTAATGCTCTTCGTAGCTACATATGTACATTCTATATGCTGTATGGATAAGATTGAGACCCAGTCTGGGATGCCGCCTGCCCCAGTCAATTTGAAGTTCATTTGGGGCCTCTACTTCTCGTTTGCCTTGCTGATTAATTGTGCAGGCATTATGCACAATTAAAATATGATTGCTCGAAAGGGAGTATCAACAGGTTGCAGGCACCACTTTAGTTGTATCTTTGAGAAGAGTTCGTCTGCAAGCCCTGACTCGGCTGACTCGGAGGAGAGTGGGAACTCATTTGTCAAAGTGGCAACCCGTCGCAGGAGCACGAACAAATGAAGAGTCATTTTCATGGGGCATTACTTTTATTTGCCATGCCAACAAATCTCTTGAACCTTTCGCCTTTGCAGGCCAGTTAATTTGCAACAATTACTTGTGCCCCGTCAGTGGCTCTGTCCCGGACAGCAGTAAGCAGCTTACAGGTCACATGCCACACACACACAAACCTACCAAACAAGAGACACCGAGAATACCTCCACACTGTCCCCTGAACCTGAGATCCCCACAAGAAGTAGCGCAAATTGAAGCATAGAGACAGCGGAACTAGCCTTGAATTAGACTCGAATCGTAAGGCTAAGTGCTAAGGCAGAAACTAGTGTGTAAACGCCGCAAAGTATGCAATATTATACATATATACACCTATACAATATACATCTTATACATACATATATGTATACATGCGAATATATATGTAGTACGATACGATACTGAATATGGAATATGGAATATGATACGATATGATATCTGGATTATAAAGTATTTTAATAAACTTTTAATAAATATTTTAGTAAATCCAATAAAACAATAAAGCAAAACCCCACCAGCGAACTCTCGGAAAGCCTCCAATCCTCCAAGGATGAAGGGGGGAAACCGCACAGAAGACACCACCCCCAATCGAAGAGTGAAAATTGTGTTTTTCTTGGACCTCCATTTTGTTACAGGGGGCAAGGGAGATGGAGTAGTCTGTTTACAACTTTTCTTTTGCCGCTGTTCGATTTATGTGCATATATTTGGCCTGCCCTCCAGCATGGCATATTTGTATTGAAGGGACAGGGACACTCCCACTCCATGCCAGCCAGGGAATTGATTAATCTCTATTGTGTGCTCTATTTGCTTGACTGGTAGACTGGGAGACTGACTGGCAATTTATTAAAATCTTTTGATTGGTATAAATGATGCTGCCTGCTAATCAAGTCGGCCAAACTGGTCGTGCCTTGGTCCTCGTAGCAGTACTTGGATCTGAATTCATTATTGTCTTCTTCTGCCCCTCTTTTGCCTCTCCGCAGGAGCACTTAAGTATGCCGCACACACGGATAACTTTCGCTCTTCTCTTCGTGTAGGTTCGTCTTACGATTTGGGTTTTCACTTTCAGGCAGAATTTAAATCTTTCGCTTCGGTTGCCTCTAAACAAATGACAAATTTTCGTCACACACGAATGCTGTGACGAAATTAAATTTTACGCAATCTGCCATCATAGCATACATACGCAAGCACATCACAGCACAATGCTTGTTAAGGGGAAATATGCCTGACGACAATTGCATTACGTGTGCGCCACATTGTCTCCCTGCCACTGCCCCTGCCACAGCCATTGTCGCTGCCGCGTGAGTTATTCAACTTTATTGCTTATTGATTTCGAAGGCATCAGGAGAGGCAATCAGGTGGGTTGGGTTCCCGTTTTCAATTTCAATTTCTCCTCGTTATGACTCAGGCAGGACTCGGAAAAATGCAAACATCTATGGGACCATCTATGGTGCCTGGGCAATCCTTTTCTGCACGCACCAAGAAACCGAAACGAGAACTCGAGGCAGCGGAGCCAATTTCTATTGAAGTGCGGCTTATTCCCAGGAGTCTGCCGGCCAAGTTACGCAACGAGAGTGGCCAGAGTTTAAACTGCTGCCCAGGCTCAGGCCTAAGATGGCAGCCAGCCAAGTGAGACTGTACCTTCACCCACGCGCACAGGCTTTTAAGGACATTTGCTGCCTACTTCTTTCTGTGTGGTGTGTGCTGTGTGCTGTGCGCCTTCAAATGGGCCCCTTTATTGTGCGGTGACAGCAGATTTTTGTGCAGAAACTTGCCAGAAATGGAAGAAAAGTTTGCCTTTAATTACTTTTGTTTTTCTATTGGACTTTCGTGTGCTGCCATGGGCGTGGCGTGGCGAAGCGAGGCTCCCTCCAAAAAGCGCGTTCCAGCGGCACGTAGAGAGGCGTCGATGAAATGCGATGCGAGCCCGTGCTATAAAAAAGAAAAATCCAATTAGATGGCCTTAAACGGCTGCACAGCTCAGCAGAACGCAGGGGAAATCCGCCATAAAGTTGAGGCTCGCAAAGCCTCCGACATCAAAGTCGGAGTCCAGAAGTGAAGGCTCCTCCTGACGGCTTTCGTCTGCCAATTATTGTAATGCCCGATGGCAGGCCCGAGCCGGAAACCTTTTCCGCGGACAATTCGTCTAGGATTCTGCCCCGTTTCTTTCGTCTAGGATTCTGCCCCGATTCCAATAGTTTTGTGCTGCGTGGCAGCAATTGCCTTTAATAATTTATTAGAGCATATTAGGCCAATACCCATGAATGAGTGTGCGCGGCGGGCATGGCATGCCACACAATATATCAAACAATAAACCTATTATTCCCCGGCCATCGATGTCCTCGGGGGCAGTGCGCGTGCCATCAGAATTTTTCACCATTTCGTTACGCATACGCCCCGATGCCCCATCGTCGAAAAAAACTTACAGGGAAATATGTTTATGGGTGTCTCCTATCGCTGTATGCGGCAGCTGTTAATGTGTCTTGCTGGATGATATGCCTGGCGGAGCAATGTTTGGGAGCAGACAGACCCTTGTGCGATGGATTCCTCTGAAATGACTTTCACTTGCAGCGCGGGGCTGCTGGTTGCTGGCTGCTGGCTTTGTTCTCCCACGCGATTTGTTTGCCCATCGATCAACTTACAGCACTTTCGCTTTTCGTCTGTAATTGCCGTCGGACTGTAGCAATTAGCGCTCCACTCGCTGCAATCAAAGACAAACAAAACCCCATTAAAGCATCGCCAAGAGGAGTTCAATAGACTGCGCTTGAACCCACTCTGCCCAACACGAGTCGTGGAGTGTCGCCACATCCACATCAGCACTCCCCGTCAGGGTAATTTTTGGCAACTTTATCTTCGTCATCGGCCGTTGTCATTATTGCGAATTTCAGGCGGCAGCCATCGAATCTGATATAAGTATTCCATTCACCAGTTCCTGTCAGTCTGTCTGGGGGAATAGACAGTGACTCGTACTCGGACTAGGACTATGACCCGGAAAGTGGGAGGAGTTCTGTGTGTCAATCTAAGATGCACAGCATAATAAAGCTCTGCCGCCGGATTCTACTCGTATTTCAGCCAGCAGCAGACCCGTTCCGTTCCGGCTGTGGGCCATCATTAAAATATGATTTATTGCGGCCACCCTTCGACTGGTTTCCCGGGCTGTGGGTTTATGGGTGGCTTTTCACTGGCGGAGCCTGCGGTCTGCTGATGCCCGCTCTCGGGAGGGCTCCAGGACTTTGGCTTGTTTTGGTACATGTCTTTTGACTTTAAACAATTCCCTGGGTGGGCCTGGTCTGGCCCGGCTGGATGTGGCTTAGCCCAGTTTTTACGCTCGATTTTACAATTTTCGTTGCCTGAGAAGGTAACAACATTTGCCTCCAGGTCTCATAGAGTTAATCGCTGGCATTTGCATAGAAATGAAACAGTCGAAAGTCAAAGGTTATATGCTCCAGGGAGTCACGAGTCAGAGATTCAGGGGGTAATTAAGCTGCAAATTGGATAATTTAAATTAATTTACGTTCAAACTGCGGTCCTTAAGATGTAATTGTAAATGTAATTGAAACTCGTTAATAATTAATAGCAGTAAGTTAATAATAAGACAGTCAGTAAGTCAGTGTAAGCAAAATCGATCCATTTACTTAAACAAATTGTTGCAGGGAAATAACTTGTCACATTACCGCAATTACCGATCCTTGGTGTTCGTTTCCAGCAATTGTGTTCCGTGCGCTACGAAAAACCTCTAACTAATTGACTTTTTATTTTCTGCTCTTCTCTGCCCCCCCATGAAAAGTAGGTTAACGAGCCCGAAGACGTATCCGAGCCGATGATTATAGATGACAATTGCCTGGATCAGACCGGACCGAAATTGGCCCCAATGGGCTGCTACGGCAAGTACGGATTACCTCTGCACTGCCACACCTCCACATCGGCCGTGCTCCGTAACTATCACCACAACCCGCTGATTAGCGGCACCAACTTCCAGCTGTCGCCGGTCTTCAGCGGCTCTGACGCGGGCGGGGGTGATGGCGATGCCGGGTCAGTGGTTTCCCTGGACGACTCCGTGCCACCAGGCCTGACGGCCTGCGACACAGATGCCTCCAGCGATAGCGGCATCGACGAGAACAGCCTCGTCGAGGGAGCGTCTGCATCACCACGCAAGAGGGTGCTCATCAGCAACAGCGAGACTGGCACTGGGCTGGGGGAGACTGCATCTCCGCCTCTCGATGTGGTTCCACAGCAGCAACAGGTGGGCGAGGAGGAGGCCGAAGGATGCCCCAATGGCAGCAGCGCCCCCAGCAGGAAGACCTCGATTTCGTTCCTGGACAACAGCAATCCCCTGCTGCATACCCCGGCCATGATGGACCTTTGTAACGACGACTACATCATGAGCGAGGGCGGCTTCGAGTTCAGCGAGAGTCAGTTGGAGCAGGTGCTCGGCTGGTCGGAGATCGCCTAGGGTGTTGGAGGTGGAAGAAAAACGCCCAGTTTATCATGCACCTTATGCATGTGTGTTTGCGTGCAGGATGGGGAAATGAAATCGTTGAAATTAAAGTGAGAATCAAAGAGGAAGTAAACCAAAAGATTGATTTTGAGCCTTGCGGGAAAATAAAAATTACAGCCAACTCCCCCGACCCGCGGCCTGCGTCCCCCGACCCACGACCCTTGACCCCTGACCTCCCCAATCCCTATCGCAACCCACCCGAGAGCAGACCCCTAGCTAACCGAAACACAAACAGGAAGGGTTAACCATATTTGAATAGTTTTGTAGCCACGTTAACTGCCTAGTACGGAAGAATATACATGTATGTAATTTAGTCTTAATGTTTTTCTATATGCAAACAGTCTACACAAATAAATAGAAGAAGGAGGCAAATTTCAAAACAGAAAAAGCAAACAAGAATATATCTTGGATAAAAATGTTCACAGTTTTTGCTGAGAAGGCTCGAAGACGTTTTTGGTGATGGTTGTACTCGTTGTTATGACTTTCAAGTGCAAAAGATGTGACGAAAAAAAAAGTTTTTAAATACGTTTTACAAAAGAGAAAAAAAATTAAAAAAAAAAAAACAATACATGTAATTAGCAATGTAAGTCCGAATTTTCAACATTTTCAAGTGCTACCGACAAACTTGTAGCGGAAACATTTAAACTAAATTAATTTTAACTAAGCAAATGCCTATCGTATCGTATCCAATTTCTTTGATCTTAACTGCAGGTTATATTTTGTGCATTTGTATCAATTAAATCTTTTGTGTCGATCAATTTCAATAATTTTTCAAATTTGTTTTCCCGTTCATCCCGGTTCTTTATGTAAATTAGTTTTAGTTCTGTTTAAGGCGCAGCATTCACAAGAAATACATTTAGTTAAGATTTTCAAGTCTTTCGACGCTTTCAAACTGTTTATTTCAAATATTGTATTTTCCAAATAAATATAGAATTCATTTTGATTAAAGTTGCATGCAGAAAATCTGTACATCATTTTATTTATACTGAATGAAACGGAAAAAAATCGGGCTCATCTCTTTCAGCGGTCCCTTCCAAGGGTCCCACTTCTCCTCCATGCACCCATAATGTGCCACCGAGAAGCGTGGCCTGGTGCAGCTACTTAGTTAAAAGTAATTCAAATATATTTTACAAGTTAACTTTTTGCATACAAACGAACATTTCAGATTTCCGCGCTAACGTTAACATAGGACTTAACATTGGCCATTTAACATTAACACCAGAAAATGCAGCGTTGCCGTACTCGGCTGCGGAAATACTGCCCTGAAATATATCGAATTTTATAATCGAATCGAAATTAGCCGCCAAAATTCAAATTCAACTTAAAACATATTTTCCAGTTCTGTTGGAAATTCCAATTTATTGTAGTTTATTGTAGTGCTGTAAGGCCCACCCGATGGATGTGAATGTTCGATAATTTAAGATTTGAAATCTAATTTATTTAATTTTTATAATTTGTAGAAAATTGATTAATTTGTCGAATTGGATTTCAGAAACTACAGAGTTGGAATGCAATATGTACATATTATACAGATAGATAGATTTTGCTTTTACATAGTATATGCATGTACATAAATATTTGGCTTGTACTTAAATTTATTGAGAAAATTTGAAAGTGTGAAAATAAATAGCTGATAATCGTGCATATACATACATATGTATGTATGTAATATCCCCATGGCAGATACTAGAGCTGGACAGCAAGCCGTTGTGCTATCGGGCAGCTGCTGCGGTACGCAGAACATACATACGTGCAAGTTTTCTAAACACGCAAAGGCAATTAAAATTTTTAAGCGACATACGAACCCCCACGAATTGCACGCAGTTACCAAGGAGCATGGACATCCCACAAAAAAGATTGACCATAGCAGCCGAGCGCCGGGAAACAGGAAAGGCAGGTCAGTTTTTTCTCGCCGAAACCTATGTACCCTTGCACATTCAAGAGTGATAAAATCAGGTCCTTGTTAACCTGTTATATTGGCTTTCAATAAGATTTTGTCTCCCTGTCTCCGGCATGGAAGCCGCAAGCAAAGAGCTTCCCTTTTGGATACTTAGTCCCAGTCGCTTTTGGTAATCGATACATCTTATTGCGTCCAAGCTGAAAGGAAAACCGATGTACCCTCTCTTCTATTGTATCCAAGTTGTACAACATATCGTATGCTTAATGCATAATAATGAAGGAGCAACAACTGCTGCGGCACGTAGCTTGCAGTCGCTTGTGGCTGTTGTTGTTGTATTTCGCCTGTCACTAGGACATGCCACAATTGTTGGCCTTTAATAGCGTCGCAGTGGCTTGCCACCGGTCGGTTGGTTCGTTTTGGCTTCAGCAAGATTTGGTGGTTTCGCCAAATTAGATTACACAAGCCACTTTTAATGAAAAAAAATTAACTAATTCGATTTGAGGTTCATTGCACTATGCGCTCCGGTAAATCAAACCAAACCATTTAAGCATGGCTACTAGAGAGATGCACTACTCAGTGTCTCCTAGAGTGAGCATGCGATGGTACTCATAATCTGCATCAGAATCTGATTCAATTAAGAAATGTTAATGGCATTTGTACAAGACTTGTATAGCTGCGGTCAAAATGTAAGTATGTATGTAAGTATACAAATGTATGTCTGTAGGTAAGAAGCCACATAACGTGTGCACCAGAGATATTCTTTGCTTGTAAGCGGTGGATTGAATTTACTCCTTTTTTGACCGCAACTGAATGCACATACTTACATACATTCGTGCATATGTATATGGATATGTAATAAAGTATGAATGCAACCATTGCCGGACAGAACTGATCTTGCAAAACTGATTGTTCGCCATGCCACGGCATGCATCTTCTGGCTATTTGGTGCGCCTTAGTTTCTATGCGAGCAGTTGTTGTTATTTTTCAGGGGAATGCAGTTGTACTTGCAAAGCAATTAAAAGTCAGCGAAGAATGATTAAACAGTACCAGCCAATTTAGCATGTGGGAGAAGACCAGCCATTAAGAACTTGGCTGGGGCAATTATGCGGGATGCAAGATAAGTGACGATGGCTAAGGATGCAAAAAGGCCAGCAAAAAGTTAATTTATGATTAGCTATCCGGATAAAACATTGATATACTATGTGCATACATATAGCTCCCATATAGCTCAGTGGATTGGTGCAATTACCAGTTGGGTTGGGGATTTGCAAGCCCCGTTTACATTCATTGTGTACGTTTTATGTGCTGATATACAACATTTCTTGTCAGTAGTCAGCAAGCAAAGTAATTATGCTTATATTGCATTCTAATCTTGTGGTCAAGCTTGGTCGCATGGGCACTTCTTTTTGGATGTTTCTTTTGATATACATACATATGTATGTACATACATATGTACATATATATATGCGAATGCGAAAAGAGGAATGGATTTCAAAAGAGCTTCCCTTGAATTGTAATTTGAGCATGCGGAAAGTTTCTAAATGGATATTGGTGTCAGTCAAAAAATTCTATATGGACTACCTGGAAACCGAAGCCGGATACCCATCGAATGTCGTGCAAAGAAAAGCGGCTAATAAGCTGCGAAAATGTTGACGATGCCAGAACACAAAGTAAAAATTCTTACACAACTCCAGTAACAGAAAATTAAGCATGAATTTGTATTTTCAAAGAAGAATAACAACAACAACCATTTTTAAATGGTTAGCACAAACTGTTAAACGAGCACTGAGCCAAGACAACTTTCTCCAATTCTGTGCCTAAGGAAAGAAGTCAGAACTCTGCTTCCAATAAATAAATTGAGAACTGTATATTGTTGCGGCATGCAGTTTTTGGAGAATTAAAAAGGCTGTCATATTGTCCAAGTATAATACAATTGAATATGCAAATAGGACTGTCTGGCTAGTGTCACGGAGTGAGGCTCACATACTTACTTACATATATGTATAAATGCACAAAAATGTTGTCTGCCCCTTAAGTGAACTTCATTCATGCATTGCCCGGACAACCGTGCAACAAGAGACCAACCAACCAAGCAACGACAGTTTGGTGCACAAAAATTGCAGCCGCATCGCCAAATATTTTTTTGAAAAACCTTTTCATAGCTTGAAGCAAGAAAACTAAATCTAAAAACTAAAAACAAAAAACAAAAAACACCAAACTGGTATTTTTATTTACTTTAAGTTAACAGACCCCTCATAGACAACATGCATACACATGTATATACATACATACATATGTACATGTACATACATACGTACATGCACCTGCAGATCACAGTGTACCTGTACAGTGGCTTTACCTTTCGGATACGGAGATGCATACATACATTTGTATGTTTGTATGTTTTCAGCTATGTGTATTCATTGTATCAGCTGTTAAACTAGTCCCAAAAACCAGTCTTACCGCAAAAGAGATGGTATGTATGTGTGCATGCATGTACATGAGCACTTTGCTGAGTTGAGCGCTTTGTCTTGTGGATTTTGAACGTGAAGTGAGTGTTATTTGGAGTGCGACTCAGACCCGAGCCAGACAGTGTAAAGAACGAGGTAGAGCTTGGTAGCATACAAGTTGTATGTTGACTGGCGTTTTATCTCATTTGCCCATACCGTTTTCTTAATATACCCTGCTGTAGTTTCTCTCTCGCTTTATGTGCGATTGTTATTTCGCACCATTCAAACACCCGTCACACTCAAAATCCACTCAACAATACGCTCAATGAAGAAAACTTAGCAAAGTTCAGTTGGAAGCCCCAACAGCGCTCCAATATCGCCCATACCTGTGGCATCTACTGCACCGTTCTCACGTGTCGTTCGCATTGTGACCACCTGTACAGTGTACACACATATCTATGTAGATAGCTACACGTCTTTTAGGTGGCTCCCGCGATACCGGTTTTGCGCTGGTATGAATATGCCCAAGAGCTAATTTTATAAAAGTTATCTCCTAAGAAGTTTTTAAAGTTCAGACACTCAGTGGACGGACTTTCGTGATATACTCAGCATCAGCACCATTTAAATACAAATAATGCTGGCGATACTGAAAATCGGTATTAGTGGTGCTCATGAATAAATACAAAATATCTTTCGATATTCGTAATACACAAGTTAAAGAATATTTTAGGCTGATGAGTCTATAAGAAATGACAGTGCAGTGTATTTGCGATGGAAATGGGCCTAAGCCTAAACTGTTTTCTTGTGAGTCCGGCAAATGAGGTCACGTATGTAAAGATTTTTTAAAGAAAACGTCAGCCTGTCCGTCGTCAACTTGTCACACTACTTTTACCACATGCTACAGTGATCTCCCACACATATTTGTGAGCGCAGCCGCAGCCGCTGCCGCAGCGTTGTTTGCTTTTCGCGGGATTTCAAACTAGTATGAGTGCAATTCATATTATACATACACACAACCAGATCATCTCAAAATGTCAAAATCCATAGCTCCATAATTTTGGAATGCTGAAAAATATTTCTTTAAACGTGCCGTGCCTGTGTTCTACTGTGTTTGTGTGTTCATAATAGTCGGACTGTACGTGATTTTAACACTTCCGAAATGTAATAGAAACAATCAAAAATTGGTTCCCTTCATCGTGTGCTCAACATTTCTTGTTTTAACAAATGGTTCTTGGATACACTCAGCTCAACGGCCTTACACCAAACATTGAAAAACAGCACTCAACATCTTGAGAGTAAATGGTAAGTAAAACATGCCGACTTAAATTTGGAAAGGCTATTCGTTGGTACTTTATACTTTGGCTTTATTCAAGTGAAGCTATGATAAGATCAGAATATGGCATATTGCCTTTGACAATGTTACTTGTATGTACATATACCAGTGGCTGCCATAACGTATCGCTTCTCTTTGGGAGGGAGTATAAGGCATCGACCTTAGGGTAATCTTCTTAGGGTGGCGGCGAAATAAAAACAAACTCACCAATAGATAAATCTTATAAGAACCCCCTTGAGAACTCCCAAGTATAAATAACAACTTTTTAATTCCCAACCTTACCACCTGCAGAATTACGTGTCGTTTTTTTTTCTTAACGAAACTGAAAATGTGTTCGTCACCATTACCCTTACCTTTACCCTTACAAAGAGTCTAAGACTTTCCGTCCCCATGAAGTATACGATCCAATTGATATAGTGATCCGATGTTGGGGGCTCATCACCTGAGTCGATCCTTCTGATTGTCTGCATAAACTAATGGACGCAAAAATTATACTTAAGCTAGTCAATCTATATACATCCATATTAACCTACTATGCTATATGTACATATATGTATGTATGCATTTAGTAATAATGGTACACCGGAAGTTCATGGTAAATTATCATGGCAAATGATAGCCTTAATTGTTACTTCCATGAGTTAAGTTTGCAAGGGCTGGCGGCTATGTACGTAGCAAGGATGCTTGTGGTTTTTTTTTGCTTCCAAGTGCTGCTTCCAGCTGGATAGTTTGACCTTTAGTCAGTCACGTTTCGAAAAGTTACCTCAAACTGAAGATGGCAGACTCCAGTACGAAGTCTTTCCAAGCAAATGATATTTTTTCGCTTTCTATTTCCAAGCTTGTCAGATTATGAGCCAGAGATTGATATTTGCCTGCTTACTGCCAACTATTTATGAGTATTTACGAGTGGGCAAGACATTTCCACTTACACTGCAAATTTCAGCAAAGTGGGGGTTATAGTGCAGACCGGACCGTAATTCTCATTACCGTCAAAACCACATAACCACACAAGTCCAAGTATTGAGCATATGTAGTATGCATGTATGCATGTATGCATGTATGGTCGTATGTAATTATATATGTAGAGATATGGCAAGATATTTGTGCACTGCCATGGACTCCAGAATCATACTGATAAAATGAAATAATTTTGTATAGATACTCGCACATATGTGCATACATAATGCTGTGCACTTAGTACGTATGTATGTATATGTATGTGGCAACCATCGTTCGCATTCCAATAGATTTCAGATTTAAGTTCGGTTCGGTACGTATTGTACCACATTCAAAACTAGAAAATGTTCGCAGAAACAGCATCAATAAGCAACAGGTTTCTTGTGTCTGAGCACTGGGCACCCAGCAGCCAGCAGCCAGCAGGCAGCACTAGCGTTTAAAGCAATTCTTCGGCTTTCGTTTTATTTCGCAAACCAGTTTGGCACATTCGGCTTTTTCTATAGGTTTCCGGTTGAACATATTCAACAGCTTTGTAGCTTCATTTACTCGTACGTTGTTTTTGGTTTTGCACGACAGGTATGCACAGTGAAAGCTATATTATATAGACAAAAAGTATTTAATACGAAGGATTTGTGTACTGGAGATGCTGTGTAAAGCCGTCATAACAGCATCATCCTCGTTTAAAGAAAAAATATATACATAGATGGCGCAACAGGGCGATAATTAAGGGTCAGTACATTGATCAAAACTCAAACTTTCACTCTTATTTTTGAGGTGATTTCACATATCACATCAAATATACATCAAGATCTGTTTGATCGAAACTTCCAATTTGGATTTAGAAGTTGTGCAATTTAATTATTTTTAAGAGGCTTTCTCCTTTACCTAAATGAAAATGCATTTCAAATGGTTGATAGAAAACTTTTGAAGAGAAAGACTTTGGGATTGATGCTGATTGCAGGAAAGCTGGGTATGCATATGCATTGTTCCTATGAAAGATGTGTGATATAATGACTTGAATCGCCAATCAAACATGTATAGTACGTAAAGCAAAAAGCAAAAAGCTTTCCAACAGCTAAATTAACTCTACTAAGAATAGATATTATACATAAACAGGTATGTGTGTGTAGTATGTAGTCGGAAGTGTTTATGTATTTATCTGCACTCATTTTCTGTACCATTCTTCTCCTCATTCCGTACAACTATTAAATCAGCGTTCTAATAAGTAAAATGAAAAAAAAAACCAAGCTGTGCTCCTGTGGCCAACAAGTCTACGGTGAATGGGGAGTGATTCAGGCAAGGCACAGGTAGGTACTGGCGGATTTACAGCAAGAGAAAGCCAGCGAGAAGCCAGCATAGGGATAGCACAGCACAAGATACATAGCTCAAGAAGTGGCTTTGAAATACGTTTCTAACTGTATCTAAGCCACAACTCGAACAGGCAGTCGAGTCGCCGTTTAGGCGGTTGATGAGATGGGCAACTCCGAGAGAATGTACACCTGTACAGTGTACACATCTTGCAGCTACCTCTTGGAGTAAGTGCAGTTGTTTGCTTAGTAGCTTGGCTCCTCATTTTATAAGAGTTTAGTTTTTTTGTTGTTGTTCTCATGCAACTGGCCTAGGAATGCGGTTTCATTTTTAGCACTTTTCTCAACTTCCACTCTGATGACTTTTTGAACGCTGGCACTCGTTTTCCGCAAGTACTTTTGTGGCTGCCCAAGCCAGGGCGATGATGGGATGTTAACATCCGATAGGGGTGCACGATTTTGAGGGTTTTGTTGCGTTTATCAAGTTAGTGCAATAATTAGACTATGTACTTGTTAGCTAAACCAACTCTACTGATGAAATTAAGAAGAGTCCGAGTTTGGCGCACCCATGTGCAAGCCCAATCCGAGCAATCTTCCTTTATCGACTACACAAAAAACATAGCAGCAGGCTACCGCTACGCTATGCGTTCGCATCTATGATTTCCTCATGCCCATATAAACATGCAGATGGTTGGAGAAGAATTGCCCAGCAGAAGAGAGCACAGCCAACGCCAGGTTCCAGTTTGGTTTAAATGTTTATTGCATATTGATTTCACACCATTTAAGGAATGGGAGGCCATCTTGGCATACACACAATCTTATACATATATAGAGGGAACTTTGTAGCTTCGCAGTGTAGAGGTATCGCAAAATTCACTCTGCTGGTCATATAATACAATAAGTATATGCACATATGTATGTACCTACATATGTATGTACATATGTATGTACATATGTATTCCTCTTGTAGGTGACACTATTGAATAATACTCATTTAATTTCAGAAAAATGTCTTCTAACAACATATCAGCAATGCAAGGACTTGGATTCTTGGGACTTTTGATTCTGCTGTCCTCAGCTGTTTTGGGAAAATCCCAAATGTGCGAGGTGGAAACTGGCCAAACGAATATAATTCTGGATATTGAAGAAAGCCGCGAAGCATGTAAGATTTGATTAAATTAAATTAAATTGATTAAAAATAGGTTAGAGCACCTATAGTGGGACTACAATGTTTCTATGGATGTCTGTGCACCTTTTGGAGGTGTATGCACTAGGGTACCTTGTCTGCCTTGCAAACATTGCACTATAATAATGGAGGTGCTTTCTAGAGAAGGGCTGAATCTCATAGTAGCATTACCAGCACAAAAATTGCATGTTTTACGCCACATCTTTGTTGGATGCGGCGAAAGAAACCTGAAGTCACTTTATATGACTTTTAAGCACAACACAGCAGTAAAGAGGCGGACACATGCAATACAGCTCGTACAGCTCTGAGACAAACCTCAACTTTAAGATCATAGTCTACAAGCACAAAAGGTGCAACGCCATAATTATAACTTGCATACGTGTCCCGTGTCCATGGACATGTACATATCTATGTAATGTATGTACATATGTATGGTCTGTACGTATGTATGTATGTATGCTTTACAAGCTGAGCAGACTATGCAGAACCAACGGCTTACTCAGATTATCAGAATAAAACATAGCACTCGTACATATGTATATGTACGTATCGTATGTATGTATCATATGGATGGTCGTCCTCAAGAATGCCTAAAATCAACACAGGCAAAACGGGCTACTGTGAATTTTCCAATATTCATATGTATCGTTAGCTCACTAATACGATCACTGCTCCATATATAAATATGTACATACATATGTATCACACTCGTACGTATTGTGCAAGATCTAAATCTGGCTTTCTAGACGCAGCTGCCGGTTAACACGAATTTTTACAGCGCGCTCATATGGCTCACACATACATACATATGTACAGACAATTTAAACGCATATTTTTCCAACCGATGGCTGCTTTAACCCTCAATTCAAAGAGAAAGGATTCATTTTCCTCGCTCTTGGTGGTGCTTCAACTAGTTCTTTTCTTTGCAAGCTGTACTGTACTGAACTGTACTGTACTGTTAGGTGCCTAGAATATAAGCATACATTTCACCAGCATATGAATGAACTTTACCGAATGTTTATCTGTGATAGTTATTGGGCAGCAAACGACTCCCACTGAGCTTCCCATCTTTGGCGACCCGGAGACGGAAATAGATCTCGATCTAGTTTTTCCAAAGGGACAGCCAACATTTCAATTGATCGGAAAACGACTGCAGTTGCTGGAGCCCCTTGACCGGGATGAAGAAAATCTCAGCCACATTGTATTCCAGGTAAGTGTCGTGTCTCCCCAGCAGGTCTTCGGCGTCTGTCTTCGCGGGCAGATGAATTAAAAGCCGTAATGAATTGTTTCATGAAATGCACCCACTCAAGAATTACGCCATTTCTTTGTAGGTGTCCTGCACCGTTCGATCCTCTAATAAGAAGCGCAACATTCCCATTATTGTGCGCGTGTCGGATATCAATGACAATGCGCCCCGTTTCATGAACACGCCCTATGAGGTCACCGTACCCGAGGTAAGTAGATTTCAAGCATTCAAGACACGAACAGCTTTTTGGAGCGCCAAAGTTTGCCTGTTCTGTTTGCCTGTTGCCTATTGCCTGGCTGCCTGCCTGCCTGCCTGTCTTTCTTGCTACATATCCCCCTTCGCGAGCTACCAGTTCGCGTTCGCCAGCCGCAGTTGTTGCCACAAATGCTCCACTGCAGCAGAGGCAGAGCAGAGTCCGAGTCCGAGGACCGAGTTAGAGTCAGGTGAATGTGCATAGCCTTCTCGATAGTATAGTCGATGCCAGCAACCAGCAACAACATACAAGACACTAATGAAGTGGCAGACAAGCATGTGTTGTCCACGTCGCATGTTGATGCAGCATGTTCATGTTGCTCCGTGCTCCCACTGCCCCAACGACGACAACGACAACAACAACAACAACAATTGCATGTAGAGACACAACATCACATCTATGGCTACAATAGTATTTCCGTCTGTTAATCACGTATTTAGACTAATAACGTTCAATTACAGAACAGTTGACATATTAGAAAGCACCATCAACTAATGCCAAGAAACAAAAGAGAAGCGTTCCAATAGATCTTTCAGTTTTAGACCAATCCCACATACCATATATCACTCAGAATAATTATAAGCAACTTCAAGGACTACTACTCTGATCTTCACACAATTGGCACAGAAATTAAATGAAAACACGCATGCCATAAACTTACTCAAATATACAGAAGGTATGAAGCATCGGTATGAAGTCCTTGGGGAATTTATACATAAATAATTAATTTTGGAACGTGAAGGGCACAGCCCTCTGGGGAGAGTCCCATTGTATATTCGAGCATGTCCTCACTTCTTATCCGCCGAAAATCGTGTATTTTTCCTGGCTTATTGATGGCTTGTTGGTGTTTCAGTATATTAGCAATGCCAAAACTAGCTTTGATAATTTCTGAAGACAAACCCTTAAACATCAGGAAATAATTAGCCAGTTTCTTCCCATAAATACATAGGAGAATGTGCTGTGTGCTAAACAAAGTTACAGTTCCCATTATGGGAGTCAGTCTGTCAGTCCACCTGGAATATATGCATGTATGTATGTATGTACGCACTTGCCGTTATAAGCGGGACTCTCGAGGGACTGATGGTGAATGCTTGCAGAGTGGAAGACATCTTTGGCATCGTTCTCGTTTATCCACTAATTAAATGAACAAAGTTAAATTAATGGCAAATATAGTACTACGATTCATTTCCGTTGATTGAGAAAAACTCTATGAATAAATACAGCGTAATTGAAATTCTGCATTTAATTCAAAACAGAGCACACCGGTGGGAACTACGATATTTCGAAACATACAAGCACTCGATAAAGATGCAGGAGTAAATGGGCTTGTGGAATATTTTATTGCCGAAACGAGTATTAATGCAACCGAAGATGAGAAGCTCACTAGCGCTGATGGGTATGGCACCTTTGCCATATCCTTTCCACACCAGGGACAGGTGAGTCCAAAAGATATGCAATTTTCATATTCTTATTTTTGCCCCCCTCTACTTGCAGGTTACTGTTTCAAGGATTTTGGACTATGAGAAGGTTCAGCGCTACTTTGTGACCATCGTAGCTTCGGTAAGTCAAAATGTACTCCAAGCCAAATGTTCGGCCTACTCAAATTGGATTCCCCACTTTCAGGACCGGGCTCGCAACACCGAACATCGACTTTCTTCGACCACTACTTTAACTGTCAATATAGCCGACTCGGACGATTTAGATCCATCTTTTATATACCGGGGCTGCGTGTTGCTCGAGGGCGCCTGCATAAACCCAGAGTACACGGCCTCTGTGCCGGCAGGCTCGTTGCTGGGGGTTCTCAATGTGCTGCCTGAGAGAATACAGGCGGTGGATCTGGACACGATAAACTCGCGCATACGCTACAGCTTTGCCAGCGGAATGCCTGGAAACTATGAAGATTACTTTGAGATCGACGAGGAAACGGGAGTGCTGAAGCAAACAAAAGCCATTGACACGTCCACCGCCAAAAGATATGACATCATCGTGCGCGCAGAAGAGATTTCACCTGCACCTCGACGTTTTACCACGGCCAAGCTGGCGATTTCTGTTAAACCAGTCGATGCCAACCCCCCAGCCATATCCTCCTCTGCCACCGAGGGCTACGTTGACGAGAACTCACCCATAGGCACCCGGGTTTTGGATGCAAGCGGCAATCCCATAACCTTCAGTACCACAGATGCAGACTTGGGCGAGGGCGATCCAAAGCCCGAGTATATATATGAACTGACCACGCCTTCATTTAATGTGACCAGCGGAGGCGTTCTGGTAGTGAACGAAGAAAACCTCGATCGGGATCCGCCTGCCCCCGGCCGGTTTAAATTTCAGGTTGTCGCCCGGGAGCCACGAACAAACGCTGCCAGCGCTCCATTGAGCCTCACCGTGCATCTGCGCGACATTAACGACAATGCACCCAAGCTGGCAATGGTCTCGCCGATTTCGATCACTGCCGGGGATCAGAGCGAAAGTCGCCTGGTCACACAAGTGACAGCCACCGATAACGACATTGGGCCCAATGCCGTAGTCGCCTACTCCATTTACCACGTGTCCAACAATGGTATTCAAAGGTTCACGATTGACGAGCAAACCGGGGAGATCAGAGCCCACGGCCGCCTGCTCGCTGGGGAACAATACAGCATAACTGTGCAGGCTACAGACGTAGGAGGGCTGTCCTCGCAGGCCATTGTGGAGGTGAGTGTGACACCGGGGCCCAACACGAAGCCGCCCCGCTTCCAAAAGCCCATCTACGAGGTGCAGGTTAGCGAGGGTGCGGAAATCAACTCCACGGTCACCGTAGTGCATGCAGACGATCCGGAGAACGATGCAGTTGTCTACTCAATCATATCCGGCAATGATCTTCGCCAGTTTGCTGTGGGCCAAGAGACTGGGGTCATTATCGTGATACGCAAGTTGGATCGCGAGAGCTTAACGCGCTACCAACTGATCATGAGGGCCGAGGACAGTGGTGGCCTCTCGAGCACCGCTACAGTGAACATTAAGGTCACTGATATTAATGATAAGAATCCAGAGTTCGATGTGTCCACCCTGCCCTACGTCTTCCAAGTGGATGAAGGCACATCCAATGCTTTCGTGGGCGTGGTGCACGCCACTGACGCCGACGAAGGTATCAACGCAGAGATTACCTATTCCATACCCACAGACGTGCCATTTACCATAAACGGCACTTCCGGAGAACTGCGAACTGCGTCTCAGCTGGACTATGAACGCTTGAATGAGTACAAGTTCGTGGTGACTGCAAAGGATGGGGCTCCCGACGCTCGCCTGGGCACGGCCAGCGTGACCGTGTTGGTGCACGACATTCCCGACGAAGTGCCAAAGTTCAGCGATGCTCGCATCGACGTGCATATACCAGAGAACGAGGTGAATTTCCTGGTGGCCACGGTGCAGGCCTTTGATCCAGATACGACTTCGGAAATCACCTACGTGCTCCGCAAGGGGGATGCGGAACTATTCAAGGTATCTGCGACCACCGGAGAGGTGCACACAGTCAAGGGGTTGGACTACGAGAACCAGCGACAGCACCAGCTGACAATCGGAACCATTGAAAACGACGGTGATGGGCCTGGAGACACACTCCAGCTGGTGGTGAATGTTGAGGATCGGAACGATCTGCCGCCGAGATTCATAACTGCGCCTGATCCAGTGACTGTGAACGATGACCAAGCCATAGGCACCATTATAGCCACTCTGCCGGCCATTGATGGCGATGGCACCTCCCCTGGAAACGTGGTCCGCTACGAGATAGTCGGACGGGGAAAAGCACCCAAATACTTTCAAGTTGATCCAGACACGGGAGCGGTGCGTATCCGCGATGAGTTGCGCAAAGAAGTCGACACAGAGTACCACGTGGACATTCGCGCCTATGACATGGGCGAGCCCCAGCTGAGCTCGGTGGCTCCTCTTCGCGTGGATGTGCGACACCTTGCCCTGTCCCAGAACAACGAAATGAGCATGGAAACTAAGCTGCAGAGCGGGATGATTCTGAGCACTGAAAACATAGGCCTGGGCTTCAGCGACGACAGCTACACAACCAGCGTACCAGAGTCCACGGAAGTGAACAGTACCCTGAAGATTGTGCAGATCATTAATTCGAAACAATCGGCCAACGGACCGGCAGACTTTAGGTGCGAGTTTGTGCATGGAAACGATGAGGCAAAGTTCAATGTAAGTCTGGCCGACCATGGATGCAGCATAATCCTCGTTCAGTCGTTAGATTTCGAGAACAAGTCCTCGTACACACTCCAGCTGCGCCTTGTGTCCCACCGGTACTTTGTTAACCCCCTAAAGGATAAGACCACTGTGAATATAATAGTTCAGGACGAGAACGACAATGCGCCAGAGTTTGTCTTCAATCGGCTGCGTGGTCAGCGGGACACCTTCTACACCGTGGTAACATCAGATATGGATGTGGACACGACCATTCTGCAGGTGCGTGCCACCGATCGTGATTCCGGAAAGTTTGGAATGGTTCGGTACAAGCTGTACGACGATGAGGACACCGGAACTAATTTGGTGTGTATTGAAGGACAGACTTATCACATTATAAAAGACGAGCTATAATAATTTGTATTTACTTGCAGCCAACAAGCTTTTTTATGATGACAGAAGATGGCGTTCTGCGAACTGCAAAGCATTTCAAAAACGAAGAATCATTTCCAATGACATTTTCGGTTGAGGCACGGGACAGCGATGCCCAGGAACTGGGATCACATCGCACAAGAGCCCGAATAGTGGTCAATAAGCTCACAGACATCAATCGTATGGCACTCTCTTTTCCCAATGCGGCTCCCAGTGAACTTCGCAACTACCACACGGAGGTGGAGGAGCTGCTTGAGGAGAAAACCGGACTTGTCAGCGGCATTGAGCGCTTCAGCAATCAAAAGTATCTGGCCAACAACGGCACTGTGATTGAGAACCAAGCTGCAACGGATGTGTGGTTCTATCTCATCGATCCGAAATCAGAGAAGCTATTAAAGCGTAATGATAGTGTTGTGGAGACCACGTTGCTAGAGCCCGCTGCCCGCTTGGAACTGAACTTTGCTTTGGCACGAGCCAAGGCCGATGGGATTTCCGTGCCAATAGAAATAAAGGAACACGTTCATAAGGTAGGTCCTGCTCGTAAGAGCCAGAATGATTTACATTTCTGTATATCTGTGTGTTCTGTGTGTCATTAGATCAAGGCTGCCATAGACATCGATGACGAAGTGTTTCCCTTCACGCTAATTGCCATATCACTCATCATTCTGATATTGGGCACCATAGGCATCATATACATATGCATTTCTTGGTCAAAGTACGTACCTAGGCCAACTATGAATAGATGACTGCATTAATAAATAACCCACTTCCTAATAGGTACAAAAACTTCAAGCAACGCATGCGGCAGTATTCCTCCACGAGTCCAACACGCTATGACCCCGTCATCGTCAACCAGCAAGCTTCGAATGCCAGTGAAACTGTGGCCAGCATGAAAGAGTACGAAACGCAAATGCTGGCAATGGCAGTACCCCCCGATGGTGATGACGATCTACAGCTTGACTTCAGTGCCAAGAACCACGCCTTCTCGCTGGACAATGTCAGCTACATAACCCACAAGGAAAACAGCAACGGCAACAGCAACAGCCACGTTGTGGGTGGTCAGTCAAGTCCATCACATTCCGATGCAACGACGGCTCCCATTGCCACGCTTCGCCGCCACAATAATCTCAATAACATCAACATGAACAACAATCTGGCAATAAACAATAGGCAAAACACCTTCAATCGCACACTGGAGATCAACACCCGCAACAATGCCAACCCCCTTGGCTCACCGCACAACACGAATGGTGCTCTTTCCGGCACCTTGACTCTGGGGCGCATCAAGCATCAGAATACCAACCATTACCAGAACGGAGGATCCAATGGGGACACGGTCGGAAGGAATAATTTGGCCATTGCCAAAAATAATGCCTACAGCACGATGGGTAGACGTGGGAATACGTTTTGCGGTTCAGGATTGTTGAATGGATGCGTGGACAGCTCTGGAAATGGCGACTTGATGAACAGCAGCACGCTAGGGCGACACAGCCAACTCAACAATCGCATGTACAGCGGAGAGGTGCCCATCACCAACCCGCTTTTCCAACGGTAGGTACAGCCAAACATAGAATTAAATCTTAGCCCAATAATCTCTTATTTTGCAGGTCAACTGGTGATGGCCACAACCACTTAAGCTGCACCAATGAAAACGTATCGTTTGGAAAGCGAGACTATGGCCAAATTGGATTCTCGTACCTGAATGATTTGGATCGGTCAGAAGTGGAGACCACAACGGAACTGTGAACTGTGCGAAAACATGCCACAGACACAGACTAGAGTAAATGTAGTTAGCAGTACTTGGCTGGATATTTTGTACTTTTATTTGTTTATTGTACCATAAGCTAGCGCATTTGCCATCGAATTCCGATTATAACCTGTAAATATTTCACTAGGGATATTATTGAATGGAGAAACTGATAACTGATATTTTATAACTGTGCTCTAAGATCAAATAATTACAGTCATTAATTTTAAGTAAGCGAATTGAACAATGAACTATCAGTAAAATATCTCAATTGTTAAATTTATATCAAATAAAAGACATCATGTATGTACGCATGTATAGATAGATGTATGTACTGTACATTGGTATCAGTTTTTTGAAGTCGTTTGATGTTCTACTCGACGACTGCTCGTGAATCAGTCATCAACATTATTATAAACTGTACGAATTGGTGTACACCTGATTTCCCACGTAAATGCAACATTTTCCTTGGCCTATATAATTAACTGCATTCTCATTGTGAAAGTATGCACTCTCATTCCACACGGGCTTATGCAGCGGTCGATTGTTTCGGTGACAATTTCAGAAGCTTAATATCGTGTTTTCTGGTCGCTCTATGTGTTGTGGTGGCATTGATAATGCTTCTGGAAAGCATGATGTCTGCAGATATTTCAGTTTCAGTAATGAGAGTACTTGTTGAAGGGATTTCGTCGTCTTCGGTTTCAGATTCGCATTTCTGTGAGAAGAGATATAGTGGGTAGGTTCGTCAATAAGAAGCAAACTATAAATATAAGATATCATATAGATGATTGTGATTAAAACTAATATGCAGTGCATTTCTGGACGGATAGTCGTTGTCACTCTCCACACTCCGATATTTCACACTAATAATAATAGTTCACTTATAATACAAACCATGGCTTAAACCTCTGCTGATGTCTTGGTATCATGTTCAAATATACTAGAGCAGAGCTGTTTGCAACAGATTTCCATCTTACCATATAAAACCAGAGGATGAGAGTTCGGTTCGGTTATTTATTCAGGGTCGATCACAAGCTGTTCAATACACATGTATGTAGACAAATCTTTATCTACATACTCGTAGTTCTACTACAGTTATATATGATAGGTCTAACAACTAGTTTTAATATTGTTGAGAGTGGCAAATATGATGTACAGTTTGAATTATCAAGTTTTATGCATAGTATGACTTTTAATACAATAGCAGAAGCGACATTCATGTGTAAGTGTTGTTTAATTGATGGAAATGGTGTTGTTTAGGCTTAGATTTGATTTAACCCACCTTTTGTATATACTGGCGCCCGGCTGGCACCACGCTCAGATGCAGAACACAGTTCGAGTCCTCGAGCATGCTAGTCACGGGCTCCTGGCACACAACACCGCTTCGTTCTACGCCGCATGCTCGGAATAGCACCTGGCGCTTATCCTCTAATATGTGCTTTCGGCAGTGCTTGCAGCATGGTAGTGTTCGCTCTCCACATTTGACGCCCCCCTCTGTAAATATGCACTTGGGGTTGTTGGTTGACTTGGCTGCAAACAGCGTGTCCCGCGCGCGCTTTTCTTTGAATTTTTTGTAGAGAACCGCTTCAACTCCTTGCCGACGATGATAGCTGTTGAGCGCCTTTAGTTGTTCGTAGAGCTTGCGTTCGTGCGGCGTCTCCTTAAGCTGATCATGAATGCTGCCTGCGAATATAGAAATACAACTTAGAAACCTGAAGCGAGAGCACTGAAATACAAAAAATTACAGTAGATTTCCCGTTCTCGGCGGATGTCGTGCAAGTACTGGCGTCGCCTATGTTTCAGAACAAGCTGCAAGTGGGACAGCTCCTCGCGGTAAAGACCCTGAAGCTTATTCAATTTCAACTCTGCAATACGAACAGCCTCGGCCCGAGAGTAGACGCCGGCATGCCTAAAAGGAATTATTAAAACACCTTCCAACCAGTGTACTTGGTAAAAATCTTACTTTAGAGGATCATCGTCCTCAGAATCGACGCTTTCGTGGTCCGATTCAAATAACTCGATATCCTTGGCGGTATTCTTCACACAAGGCGGATCTCCATCATTGCTGGAACTGTCGGATGCGTAATCCAAAATTCGACGACGCTGGCGCACCTTTTCTACAACATTCTCTAAACCGTTTCGATGATCCTGATGAACTAGAATGGTAACTTATATGAAATCCACTCCAACTATGTATGTTGGACTTTACTCAATGTTTACTTACCAAACGGTACCACATGCGGTGACACAACATCAATCATATCCTCATCCGGCTCCGCCTTCGGAGACTCGAAATTGATCTCCTCCACGCTTATGTGATGGGAAAGGCTGTTGAGCAACGTCTCATTGGTCTCGACGCCACTCCGGAAACGACCGGAGGCTATGTGTGTCTTCTGCAGCTGCGTCTGTCGGTTATGCTCGAAGCAAAGTGTAGTCAGTATCTGCTCTTTCTTGTTATCATATTTTGGCACCGCGTTGGTGCACTTTCTTCCGTTTGCATACACATGTGTGCACTGGCGGTAAGTTGGCATTGGGGTCGCGAAGAATGTGGCGAATGCAATACTCATGTCCGTCAATTCGCATCTGGCTGCATTCGTATGTAGGATTGGCGCAGGACTTTATTTTCCCCACATCGCACATCTGTTGCTCCTTTTCCGGGGTACAGGGTGCGCCCATGAACCGGGAGCACTGCCGCAGTTTATTGGGAGAAAAAGTAGCCATTATTTGATGTTGGCGCAGTTTTTAATGAATTATTGAGAAAAAATGCTGTATGCTAGAGGTGTCAAACCACCGAGGGCATTATCGATAGTATCGAGCTATAGTAGTTCCGCTTTTGATATGTTTGGATTGGCTGCTCTACAATACGAAGACAAATTTGTAAAAAAAATCGACAGGTGGCATCTAATTTTTACAATGGACAAGTTCCTAAAAGGTTTCAATGGTTTTTTAATAATTATTTGAGCCCGATACTATTACGATAGTATCCATTAGTTTTTCAAAACATTCAAAGCTATCGATGGCTTAACTATCAATCGTTTGACAGCTCTACTGCATGCATAATAGGGCTGCAAAATCATCCATGGACCCATCGATGGTATCGTATATTTCCGTTTTACCTTTCAGAACTCTATGACCCGCGCATATATTATGCTAGCAAACAGTTTTTGGATCTGAGTACTAGGCTTTATTAAAAAATTTGCCATGGAAATTCCGATATATCGATGTTTTAAGCCATTGATTGTTTTGCAGCCCTATTAGTGTGACCGCGGATTTATCAATCAAATATACCTTATAATTTTAAAAATATATACCAAAATATACCAAGAAAAAAACCTGAATGCAACGATAGTTGGCCTATCTGGTAGCTTTGAAATAAAATATCGGTATCAAAGAAAAAAATGAAACTATCAATGAAATAATGAAACGCAGTTATCGGTATCAAAGAAAAAAATGAAACTATCAATGAAATAATGAAACTCAATAGAACTGATTCCAAGTCCCTTGTTCACTTGAGGAAGTTCAGGTTCATTGAACAAAATTGGGTGCAAGATTCAGATTCAAGACCAAGTGATTAGCCTGAATCGAAATGTCTTGGCCGGTCAATAAACAGATCAACATTATCATTTTTTAAGTTACAATTTGTTATGTGTATATTTAAATAATCATATCGCCCGTCCATTTCATCTACAATATATATTAAAGAAAACGTTTCTGCCTATGTGCCCTCTCGTTGTTGTTAGTTTTCCACAACGTTCATGTCAAGCAGCAGCTTCTTCGTCTGCAAGTCGATTAGCCGCCGCTTGGATCTGGCCAGTTCGGCCATCTCATTAAAGTATATCGTCTCAGCCTTCAGCTTCTCGTCCATTTGCGTGGTGGTCTCCGAAAGCGAGGCGGAGTCAGCTTGGACCATGTGGTGCATGTCGCTAGATTCTGGATAATCATGTTTAACCCCAACTTCCTCGGTGTTGTCGACGACGTACTCGTAGAAGGGTTCCTGCAGCGAAATCGAAGTTACCTTAAAAAAAAAAGACATAAAATTATGTATTAGATTTACTGCGGCCGGAAACAGTGGAACAAAAACATTACGCTCACCTCGTCCTCCAAATGATCCGTCACCTTCTCAATAATGCTATCCACATCATCGAAGTTGACTTTTTCCAGTGGATCCGCCATCTGCCTGCGCTCAATGTTGCACATGATCTCCTTTTTGGGCATCATCAAATGATGATGCGAGTGGTCTAAGGTCTTCGAAAGATTGTGATGGCGGCGGACAATGTGACGCATCAAGTTGGACGACGAGTGTTTGGAGGATAATGTTTTTGAACAGTGCTTGCATTTGGCCATAAACTCCGATATACGGACAAAGTGCGCCCACAGCTTGTTGTTCTTGCCAATTACTTTGTTCCGCATCTCCGCTTCCTGGCTCTGCCGATCCAATTGCTGCTGCTGAACGCCAATAATCGTACGGACTGCATTCTTGGTCTCACCTTCGCCGGTCTCGCCTTCACAGTCGCCCTCGCCATCGCCGTCCCCATCGCCCTCGTCCATGTTCATGTGCATGTCCTCGGAGGCGGAGGCCGCCTCCAGCTCGTCCTTCAGTTCAGCCAGCATTTTGCCCTCTTCGCCCGCAAAAATCTGTCGTGCCAGTAGCTTGTGGTTCCTTATTAAGTGGCGCGTCAGATTCGATGAAGTGTGTTTAGACGAGAGTGTTTTTGCACAATGTTTGCACTGCACTATGTATTCGGTTAGGCGATGGAAATGCGAGAGGGCCTTGAAGTTTTTTCCAACCATAATTGCATTCGAAACTTGTATATTCGCAGATACCGATCGATTCGGTAGTTTTTGAATTAAAATTAGGTTCAAAAAAGAACAACAAATTGTTTTGCCGCAGATTTTCTAGTTCGCTCGGTTCGTGGTGTACAGTGTACAGTGTACATCAAAAGTAGCACCAAATGTGCTGCAATGCGCATGTTAGCAGTGGCAGCGCGATAGGCAGAGCTGGAACAGGGCTGCCCATAATTTTCAAATGTCAAAAAAGTAACCTTAAAATTTTGACACGAGGTGTTGTGCGTGTCTTTTCCTTTCTTTCTCGCTTTTTACTCGAACATGGGTAAGTCGGCTCGTGCAAATTGCGTTAAAATATCACGGAAATGGGCTCAAAAATGCATTGAATCAATGTAAAAATGTATGAGAAGAGCAGCGCCAAGAACGGATTGACTATAAATTCAATAATTTAGCTGCGTTTTTCAATAAATTCAACCCTCAAGTTCCCGTGACCACAATTGTGTGTGCATGTGTTTGTGTGTCCATATATTGTTCTTGATATTTAAACAAAGCAAATGTGCCCCGTTTTAATTCGTGTGTTTAATATTGTTCACAGGTATTAGCCGTGATAGTGCACACAAGCGCCGTTCCACTGGTGGCAAGCGCAAGTCGCTTCGCAAGAAGCGCAAGTTCGAGTTGGGTCGCCCCGCCGCCAACACCAAGGTAAGCGATGCCTGAACACTGTGCCTGGCATACAGAAATGTACAAATATGTAGCTGATTGCTAAAATGATGTTAACGCGTGTCAACTGTAATTGCGCATGGTTTACCAAATCGTGTGCTGCCGTTTGATGATTTAAAAGCTTTATGTTCGGACTACTGATTTTCAACTGTCACAACAAAATAGTCTACTCTACATAGAAGTGTGCAGATATTCTAAACGGTTGGTCTTTCATTTCAGCTCGGCTCCAGCCGCGTGCACTCTGTGCGCACTCGTGGAGGCAACAGCAAACTGCGTGCCCTGCGCCTGGAGAACGGCAACTTTGCCTGGGCCTCCGAGGGTGTTGCTCGCAAGACTCGCATTGCTGACGTCGTATACAATGCATCCAACAACGAGCTGGTGCGCACCAAGACGCTGGTCAAGAACAGCATTGTGGTCATCGACGCCACGCCATTCCGCCAATGGTACGAGTCCCACTACGTGCTGCCCTTGGGACGCAAGCGCAACCCCAAGCACGCACAGAAGGAGGATGAGAACGATGTGCTGACCAAGAAGCGCAGCGAAAAGGTCATGAAGAAGTACCTGGAGCGTCAAAAGTTTGGCAAAGTTGAGCAGGCCTTGGAGGACCAGTTCACTTCTGGCCGCATCTTGGGTGTGTATTCTTTTAGTTTTTATTTTATTTAAGGCTGTACAAAAGTGATGTAAAATCCCTAGCGATCCAACAACTTTATTGCAAAGTTCTTGTTTTAAGAACAATGCAAGCCTGTTGGGTGTGATTACGGCTTGTCATAGTTACTCTGATTTCCATAGCTTATGCCCTGCGTGGGTTAATTATCTTTTTTTTTTTTTGCTAATCCCTTTCCTTTCTATCCCTTTCAGCCTGCATTTCTTCCCGCCCCGGTCAGTGCGGTCGGTCCGACGGCTACATTCTGGAAGGCAAGGAATTGGAATTCTACCTTAAGAAGATCAAGTCTAAGAAGTAAAGGCCCTAGATAAGCTTGCAAGCGAAGCGTTCAGTTCAGATGATCAATGGACTTGCAAAGAAAACAAAATAAAAACCGATTCTTTTGATAGAAGAATTTCTCGAGCTGTTCTTTACTGTTGCAAAAAAAAGATGGGATCCGAAGAGAGTAGATTTCTTTAAAAACAGAGTTTCTATTCATGTTTCGTATGGTACAATAATACGTAATTATTAACAGTAGTTTAAATATCATTCGTATCGGCTATAATTACATAACGCAAAATAGGACGAGTGGCTGGGCGCATCCTGTAAAGTACAACAAATTCATTTCAATTTTGGACAGCCAACAACGGTCCTGTCCTGGAACCATTTATGGAATTTTGATATGCTCATCAGCTTCCTGCTAGGGTTGGTTAGTGTTCGAAAAGCGTTGTCATGATAGCCATTAATGCAATGCCAAAGACAAGGGCCAGCAGCTGCTTAATGGATTCCTTGCGCTCTTCTTCCTTTAAGAGATCAGGTAATACTGTGACCAGCGAAATGTGTAGGAAACCGCCAGCGGTAAAGGGCATGATCCACGAGGTGCGTGCCTCTGTAAAGGTAAAGAAGAGAGCTTAGTAAATCATCATCATTTTAGTTCATTAGCGTGGACATACCCATGGCTGAGGTTACACCGGAGCCTCCAATTGCCACCAGGGCACCAAGTAGGCCTGCTCCTGCTGTTAGCAGCTGTGCGCGAGCCGCATCCCAGCGACTGAAGCCGGAACGCAGAAGAATGGCAAAATCGCCAACCTCGTGGGGGATCTCGTGCACTGCAAGGAAACATCACGTAAGCAACTATGAATGATTGAAGCCTACGTCATCATATTTACATAGTATGGCAAATGTAGCCAGGACTCCGTGTCTGAAGGAGACTAGGAAAGAGCCAGCCACCGCCAGCCCGTGCGTGAAGTTGTCGATGGAATTGGCCAACAGGTTCAGGTATCCGGCGACCTTTCTGGGCTGTTCTTTCTGCTCCTTGGACTTCTGCTCCCGCTCGCGCAGGAAGCAAACCTTGTCCACGTCCTCAATGTCGCAAGCACCGCCGCAGCTCTCGGAGGTTCCTCCCTCCGGCAGCTGGCCTCCATTGCGGCGCAACAGGCAGTTGGCGATTTCCACGCACTTGGGCTGGGGGTTCTCCTCGTCTGCGCTCGTGTAGCCGGAGAAGATCTTCTCCACTATTGTGAAGATTAGTATTCCAGCGAGCACCCACAGTCCTGAGCGTAGCGATGGGTGGCTGGAGTCCCCGGAAGAGCTATGGTGATCCCCTTCCCAGGCCTCTGGCAGCAAATGGAGGAACACATCCCCTAGCAGGCCTCCCACGGCGAAGCTCAGAAGCACTCGCAGAAACTTTGATTCCGCAGCTGCAGAAAGAGGGAACGTTAAGTACGGGTCGGGAAAAAATCAATATCTTAAAGGAACACTTACGGTCTTTGTATCCATTTTTGGCCAGTTTCTCCTCGGTCGGAATAATGAACAGTGGAAAGATGCCACTGAGGCCGATTACCACCGATCCCAGCAGCGAGAACACCCACGGGGTGTACTGGAAGCTCTTAAAGTACTCTGGCACGTAATTGTTCATCAGATTAGCATAAAGCATGGTGAAATGTTCATCAAAAAAGCTGCTATTTGTGCTCATTATTGTCTGTGTTTCAGCTACTGCTGTTTCCTGGACTGGATCTGGATCTGGACGAGGTCTCTTCCGGTTGAGCGTTGGTTTTGCCTGCACGTGGGGATGTGTATGTATTTAATCACTGTCTGATCATGTCCATTAACTTCTTTACTGAATATGTCGACAGCCTTTGTCCCAGCTGAAAGCCAAATTTGAATTTTAAATAAAAAAAATATGTGAAATTTACGAGTATATATGTATACAATAAAAAATATAAGTCAGGCTGAATCAGTTCCAAAATACTGGTACCTGGCAACAAAATCAAGGAATACCCAGATGCGGTGCCAGTATGATCAGAAAATCTCTTAGATATCGACAATGAACGGACGTCAGTCAATAGGGGAGCAGTAGCTCGCTTGACTGGTTCTGTTGTCAGGCTCGATAAGCAAGTCTGTGTAAAATTTAAGTCTTTAAGGCTTAAGTATGACTAGAGATAGCTTTAGCAGGAGTGACAGTCAATCAAACGCTATAATGACCAAGATCATTGTCTCAACTATCCTTAGGTTTGTACATAAGCGTACATATGCTTACTCGTTACGACGTATATCCTCGAAGGCTAATAGCAGGTGGAAAGCGTTTAACAAAATCACAAATTGATCATCGATTCGATCATCAAACTTAAAAGATTACACAAAGTACGTCACAGTCCTTTTATGTCTACTTATCCAATTATCAACGACAAAGAAACTATAGTGCTGCCGATGGAATCACAAAAATCAGGCTCGATCTACTCGTAATGGGAGGAACAATCCTCAAAATGGATATCCGTCGCCTTTAGTGTTCATAGAGATACTAAATGAAATTGTAAAAGAAGCCATTTGGGTACTCTCACGTCTCAGTTCGGTTTCTGATTTGATTTTCTGTTTTATATGTCGGCTGCTGCTGTGAACGATGAAGCTTAAATTGTTCAATTTTTTCGCGATAAGATATAGTTAGACGCCGGACTGGCACAGCTACTGTCACTGCCACCCATACCACTAACATGCCATGATGTTGGTGGCTTTGTTAAGCGGCAATCGTATACATGTTTATTGGGAAAAACAGCCACTGGCAGCGTCTCTCTGCAAAATTATATCCTAATGATGTCATGGCTGATCATTTGGGGATTTTCATTTGTAAAAGCTTTAACGCAGCAGGCCCAGTACCTGAAAATGCTGCTGCGACAATTTCCGAGCGAGATAGCTCCACTTTCGTATCTTTCGCGGTCGTTGGTTGTCATTGAACTATCATACAAAGAAACGAAATGGAACAGCGTACCGAAGTTTAAATACTCTGGAAATTAGACGAACAACAGCGCCAGGTTTTAAGGAATGATGAAAAAGACAGAACCCAAGAATCGACACTAGGAGAGCTGTGGATCTAGTACACATTATCTATGCTATACGTATACACTCCGTCCAGTTTAATCGTTTGTTAAAAACATTTATGTTTTTGTAAGGTTCATACTTATGGTCGAACACAATCTACATAACACGAGTACATGTGCACAAATGGGGGACAATGGATTGTTCAGCGTCCAAACATGATTGGTGGCGTTGTATAGCGGTGTGTTTGTATAATTTCAACTGTTAACACAATAGAACCATAACTATAACACACTTGACTGTTACTAATGCGGAAATTTATGCTCCAAGCTTTCACACACAGGTCGTCGTCGTCTTATCGCGCCGGTAACTGAGCTCGTTCTGAGAGGCAACGTCTTTCGTTTGCATTATTATAGACAGAACAGAACAGATCGAATGGAAATTATATCTTGGGTGTTCCAAGCTATAGAGTAGTACATACTCTCCTCTATTACTTAGTATATGCGTAAGAAGATTTCAGTTGCTAACCCATGAATTACATGAATCACATTATTGACGACAGAATAATGAAATGGAAAAGCTCTCGCTTCGCTTGACATACAAATGGCGACGATAATTTTGCACTCGCACTACAGAAAGAGACATGACAAATCTACAAACTGAACTGAACAAATGCTGATTATCAAGCAGAAACGTGCTGGTGCTGGACATGTGTAAGTGTTTAAGAATAAACAATTTGGTCCCTAAAACGATAACGGTTGCATCCATATACATATGTATGTATGTACTTAACGCATGTAATACCATGTAATATGTATTTAAGCACTTTGTTGTGCTATCACACACACACACAACTGTTGACGGTCAGCTGACTGTATTTTAATTTTCACCGTTGGAAACCGAAACAAATATAATTAAATATACTTTTCTTTGTTTTCATCATACCTATGAAGTATTCCTATACCACGAGAGTGTTTTAGCATTATAACCCTTTGGATTCTTAGCAAAATCGTTCAAACCAGACTTGAAGCAAAACCAGTTTTCCAAACAAGTTGTTGTCTAACCAAATCACTGCGATTGTTTTCGTACATATGTTCATATGTCTGCGGCGTTGATAACAGGTAATATAGTAATGTTGAAGTAGTGATCGGCGGAGCACAGATTTTAAGATTAGCTTGGAGTGCTTGTGTGCAAAATATGATCAAATATGGCCGCTATTTAGCTGTTTGTCGTATATTGTGTGGGACGGGGGGAATGTAGTTCAAAAGCGCCTTACGCTAGGTTAGTTATAATATTGCGGTTCTTTACCGTTTTGCTGGTTGTGTTGGCGTTAACGTGCTCGTCTCCTCGAGGCTTCACTGAGGCACAAAGGAAAAGGCTTTTCTTTTGTTTTCATTGACTCTTGTGACTGTTGCGTTGCCGAACAAACAAATCTTATTTATTTATCTAATGCGCAGTAGCAGTTGCAAAAATTGGCACCAACTAAAAAATATATGTTAATGCACGATTCTCTTTTTGGAATGGGATTCCAGAGGAATATCTTTGTCTTTGTGAGATACAGTCGTCCCTTTAGAAGAGCTTTGCGATTAATAGCGCAGCGCAGCCCGTCACTTTACGAAAGGTTACAAGTACAAGAATTGCACATAAATATGTACGTTTGTTTACTAGTGTGCCGTGTGAAAAATAAATATGGCTGCGAACAGCTGATTGCTATCGATACCCAGTCGAATATTTTCAGCATGGGGATGAGAGCGTGACTGTCACTGTTAAGCCAAAACGGTGACCAGAAATTTACTTCAAACCTTATTAGTATCGCCACACAATTAATCTTCGTGGTCATCCACTGATGCAGTAAATATCCTTTGAAATTTTGTATATATAAGTAAATAATGAGAAAAATAATTAGCGCACTAAATATAGTTAAAAATATCTATATGATATATCACCTAAAATATGTTATCGGAAAAGCATATATATCGATACATCTATATGTATTGCAACAACCCTACATAAAAACTCAATTAAACAATTGATTTCTACATAAATTCATAGTGGTAAAATGTTTTTTAACCCTCAAATGTTTCTAAAATGTTAAACAAATGACTGTTGCGTTAGCGCGACAGCAAAGAACGACGTAAGTCAACAACCATCTTAAGCGTGAGCAACGCTTCACAACAACAAAAAGGAGTTAAGTTAATAATAAAAAGCGAAAAAAGTACTTTCGTCGAAATTTGCATACAGAAACGAGTTGAGGTGGTTAGGTAATACAGACGGACCACATTGACTACGCACAACCACAACACAACTATGAGTAAGCTGGAGACCGATTCGGACAGTTCCGAGGAATTTTTCGATGCCGAAGACACTACGCCCAATCGTCATGCCACACTTTGGTACGAACCTCACTCTAATCTTTATATTCAGCAAGGCTGACTAATACACAAAATTGTTTCTTCTAGTCGTAGATTGCCGGCGGAGGTGGCTCAGGAGTTTATATTTCCAGAGCCCGCGGTGCGTGTCAACGCAGCTGCCTCATCGGACAGCGATGCGACTCCCATTGGCGCTGGAACGCCTGCCACACGGAGTCCCACCAACAGTATAGGAGCTCGTCTGAAGCAACAGGATATAGCACCCGTAGTCTTCGCCGAGCCAAAGCCAGTGCACGGAGCAGTAAGTGTTGGTTGCATTGCATTGCAATTGTTTATGATGTTCATTCTCTGCATCCCATTTCGTTTTCTCATAATATTGTTATTCTCTTCTTTTATATTTTGTGGAAAACTATACCTATTAACTATACAACAAATATCGTGTAGTATGGTAGACAACGCTTTCACGAACTCCGTCAGTGCATGCAAAACGACGAAGATGATAATCCAGGAAATACACTTACACCTGACTCGCAGGTATATATTTTTGGGATCTAGCATGGTTTCTAAATATTTATTCTTTCGTTTATTGACTTTGTATTTAATGATTGCAGAATAGCTCCACTGATGGGATTTTCACCAATCGATCCACGCATCCGTTCAAGGTGATCGAAACCGATGCAATGAGCATACAGAGCATGACATCCTTGGGTCGCGTGGGACGCATCTTGGCGGGCAGCATAGATCCTTCGGGTGAGTGAGACACTGACATTTAATCAAAAAATAAATAAACTAAGGAAACACTCATATCTATGCACAGCCATCAGTATTGATCGCGAGTCGCTGGCCTCTCTGAATGCTCAGCAGAAGCAGCAGCAACAACAACATGCACAGACGCAGCCCCAGCCACAACAACCGACGCAGCCTTCAAGCATGCCCTCAGCAGCGAGAACAGCAGGCACATCCTCTGGCATAAGTACGCCAGGTGTCTCGCCCAAGCATCAGCAGCAGGATGCAGCAGCTGCAGCCCCCACTAGCGTGGGCAGTGCTTCTGGGGTCCGCTCGAACGAATCAGTGCCAGTGCAGGCATCAGCTGCTGTGGGAATCATGTTGCAAGAGCCAGATGTGATAGCAAGCACGAAGCTTGCGCAGTCCAAGACGACAGATTCAATAACCTCATGTGGGCCTGTGGCCCCACCACGAAGGAAGAAGAAATCGCGACACTTTTCAAGCAGTTCCTCGGATCAGTTCAATATGACCGACCGACCTACCGACGCGGAAGACACTGACAGTGACACTCGTTCCGTAAGAAGTGTACGCGATGCCCAGCAGAAGCTGCGCGATGACTTTGTCCTGGAGTTTGAGAGCTCGCTCAACGATGCCAATACCTCGGCATCCAGCAACACATTGACTTGCTCGTCCACCAACACAATCGTATCGGCCACGACTACAGCCACGCCCTCGTCTCTGGCGCAGATGCCATCGATGAGTGCCATGCATATACGTCCAATGTTGGCCACGTCGGCAATTGCGGCTCTCTCCAAGCCTTCGCATTCGCTGGGGAGCAGTTCCACATCAGTTTACTCCAAACCAAGTCCCTCAAACTCGGCCAAGAGCAACTCGGCGCCAGGACGCGTCAGCTCCATTGATCCGAATCAGGGACTTAATCTATTCAAGGCCATTCAGGGAGGCTACGTTGTCAAGCCACGCGATGAGGCTAGCAACAAGGCCCAGGGTCCGTCCCAGGATGAGATTGAGCGCATTGAGAAAATGCTCATGGAGAACGCAAATCGTCGCAAGTTGGCAGGCACCGGCTCCAATAGCTTGGGCAGTGCCACACGGTTAGTTTTTCTTGCATTTTTTGACTTTTCTAAATTTAAATTTCTTCTTTTCTTTGTTTTCCCGACAGATATCCAGCTTTGTATCGCGTCACCAACGATAAGGAACGACGAAAGTCCGCTGGCGACGAAGATGTGCTAAAGCAGATGAATATTTATGTGAGGACGCGCACTAGCTCCGGCAAGCAGCTAACCGACTTTGAGATACTCGAGCAGGTGCCTGTCAAGAATCTAGACACGGGAGAGAACATGCCGCTCTCCGAGATGCGTTCACCCCCAGTGCCTGAGGGCTGGAATCCACTCTCGCTGCATATCCTTAAGCTGACGTCCCACCTGGAGGTGACCCAGAAGGAGTCCGATGAGGAGAGTGTGATTGGGATTCCACCTAGTATTGAAGGCCAGCAGCCCGACGAAGAGGAGCTCGAAACGGACGACGGTAGTCGTCTGAAAAAGAAGACGGCACGCATTAAGCGCTTCTTTGGCACCACAATGCGTAAGACTGTGGACAAGGCCAAGTCGATTGCTTCCGAAGTGTCGCATGCGCGACACAAGGAGGATGTGGCCGATATTGTGGATGCCATGAATCCCGAGCAGAATATCAAAATCAAAGCATCCTCGTCCAACAAGGGGCCCTACGAGTTCACCAAACTACAGCACGTGCAGGACCTGAGTGGCGAGGACACGAGCGCCGTGTGGTGCATGAAGTTCAGCTCGTGTGGGCGCCTCTTGGCCACAGCTGGGCAGGATAAGGTTCTGCGAATTTGGGTCTTAAAAGATGCCTATCCATTCTTTCAGGTAACAGTTCTTGGAAGTTTTCATTTTCCTTTGTCCAATGCTCATTGAACATTCCTCAGGACATGCGCAACAAATACAATGCCGATCAGAAGTCATCGCCCACCCCCTCGCAAGAGTCTCTTGTTTCGCAGCACTCCGCAGAGGAGGCCATTGCCATGGCCACAGCCGCTGAGAAATGCACAGGGCCATTCATGCCCAAGCCGTTCTGCACCTACAACGGGCACACCTCGGATTTGCTAGATGTTAGCTGGTCGAAGAACTACTTCATCCTGTCCAGCAGCATGGACAAGACTGTCCGCCTGTGGCACATATCCAGAAAGGAGTGCCTCTGCTGCTTTCAGCATATTGATTTTGTCACAGCCATTGCCTTCCACCCGCGCGACGATCGATACTTTTTGAGCGGAAGCCTCGATGGCAAGCTGAGACTGTGGAATATACCGGACAAGAAGGTGGCTCTGTGGAACGAGGTGGATGGCCAGACAAAGCTTATCACGGCAGCCAATTTCTGTCAGAACGGGCAGTTTGCAGTGGTCGGCAGCTACGATGGACGCTGTATATTCTACAACACGGATCAGCTCAAGTACCACACGCAGATCCATGTGCGCTCTACCCGCGGCAAGAATCGCATTGGCCGTAAGATCAGCGGCATCGAGCCCATGCCCGGAGAGGACAAAATATTGGTCACCTCCAATGACAGCCGAGTGCGCCTCTACGATTTGAGGGACCTGAACTTGTCCTGCAAGTACAAGGGCTACTTGAATGTCTCCTCGCAGATCAAGGGGTCGTTCAGTCACGATGGGAAGTATATTATTGCCGGATCCGAGAATCAATGCATCTATATATGGAAGACCAATCACGACTACTCCAAGCTGAGCTCGGTTAGAAAAATTTATGATTTATGCAGTCATGCAGAACATTCCTTTATTGTTATTTGTAATCTTTGTACTCCTTGCAGGTTCGTCGTGATCGCAGCGATTTCTGGGAGGGCATTAAAGCACACAATGCCACTGTCACCTGTGCCATATTCGCGCCACATCCAGAGGCCATCATCAAGCCAGAACCAGATGAAATTTCGAATGAGAAGGTAACATGCAATCATTCTTCATTTATCTGAATCAGATGCTTAACAAAATGTTTTCTGATTTGTGTTTCAGTTGGCTCACAATGCACCTGATCCACTTGTGGAACAGCATAAAAAGGGATGCGGTTATGTGTTGGTCAGCGCTGATTTCAATGGGGCAATAAAGGTGTTCATTAATAAGACAAAGCCCAAGCATAGCAGTCTGCCCTACACGGCCATTGCGGATTAGATTATCGTAGGTCTATCGCTGGTGGAAGAAGAAACGGAAATGAAAACTAAGAAAGTAAAAGGTGTATTTTATTTGTGTTGTATTTGTGTTTGTCAGTTTTTATTCCATTCATTTCTAGCGCCATTTCTGCTTATTTATATACATACAATACATACATATTCCTAATATGCTACACCTATGTATCTACTCTCGTATCGCAGTATGTGAAAAGTTGTTAACTAAATGCGATTCTGCTAGCGCGAAATATTTGTAATGTTATGTATTTTTAACGCTGAGTGTGTGAATGTGTGTGTAGATATTTTAGTTGCCAATGTTTCTTTGATTCTGTTAGCATTATTTTGAAAGTCAATTGTACATTATAATGCCAGCCTGCAAGGAATAGAATGACTTTGAGCCCTCGAATGTCGATGCCTGCCGAATCGCAAAGCAGTTACTTTTAAAGCCTTCACACATAATTAATTTATAACTAACTTTATAATATAGTACGAGTATATTTTGTGTAAAGTAAAAATGTGCAACCCTCGGAACGGGGAAACTAAGAATTAGCTGTAATGTTTCTATTGATTTTCCTTGGCGAAGGAGTTGAAGTGCTTCGGGATTAGAGGATGGCTAAGGGAATTTCAGATGTCCCCATAGAGAGGCATGTCTGCTATTTAGCGAAAGCTTAACCTTCATGTTTGCGGCTTCCTACGGTGCCCCACCGCGGAGGGTGATACTGCAAGTAAAAAGTAGAAAAATGTAATGTAATGTTTGTAATGTGATATTGTAAGCAATCTGTGTTTACTTAACTTAATTTTCATATTTACAGCAAGTGCCAATTCAATTTGTGACTGCAATCGAAAGCATTTTTGTTTCTGAGACAGCCAAATGATACTACTATTTCCCCTCTGTTTGGGGACACGTATTCGTGTTTCATGTCATTAGCAAAGTTTTGTGGTGGTAATTGCAACAACCCCAAAAGCATGGGACCAGACCTATGCACCTACATATATACATGTATGATATTGTTATAAACATAAGTACAAATGTACATATGTACATATATGTAGACGGACTCTTTCTTTGTTGATTGTCGGTGTTGCTTTTTCTGTAGTTTCATTTTCAGGAACGTGCATACTACGTAGCTGCACGATTGTCGTTGGTATTTGTTCCTTTTCTGCAGTCTGCTAAATGTTACTTTAGGGGGAGGGAGCAGTCTGCAGTGGACAGTGGGTGTGGAGAATCGATGCGGCAACAACAGCCAGGGCGGGCCAGCCAACAGCTGTTTCCACGCCAGACGCCGGCCATACTTGTTCCAAATGCCAATCAATGCACTTTTGGCCATGTGCCAAGTTTCTCTTTGGAAAATCGGGAGCGGAGCGGGAGAGACAGAAAAACGAGAAGAGAGAAAGCACTAAGCCTCGGACTCACTCGAACGCACATATATGTATGTAGAATAATCAATGAAAATGTGCAGTTGCCGTCTAAAATCTGCATTCAAGATTCCAAAAATCATTTAATTCCATACAGTGGTCTTGGTATTGCCGATGGATATTCAGCTCACCCACACACTCGCTCCGACACAGACACAGATACAAATACAGATACCAGATACAAAGCAGGTACCGAGTACCGACAACAAGATTGAGCGAGCGCTTAGCTGGTGGGGCACCAACTCTTGGGGCTGTGCTGTGCTGCGTGCTGTGTGCTGTGCTCTTTCATCGCATTTTATTTCTGTCTCTTGTGTAAAGCGCAACGTCGAGCGGACACGACACAGCCCCACCAGTGCCGAGCCGGTCAGAGCAGTGTATGTTGTGCAGGGTGTACGGAACGGTTAAGTGTGTGTGTGTGTGTTTCGTTGTGTTGGTCTCTAGTTTTCAAATCGCTAAAATGCATTCTTTGACGTTTGCTGCCTCAACATCTGATTTCTGATTCACATGCCAAGCAATGCGACTACCGATTTGTGATATTGTGATGTGCAAAACCTAACACCTAAAACCTAATACCTAAACCTCGATCAGATGATGCTTCATGCTCTATCTGTCACCTCTGTGAAACAGGTCGGCCTAGCGATTTGAATGCCTCACAGGGTGTGAGGTCGTGTTGTGCGTGGGTGTCTGTGCGTATTGTATTGTTAAATAAATTGAATACAGTGTCCCAAAAACGGCAGAGAACTCGAAACAGGAATATCTAGAGTTGAGAGTTGTGTGAAACAGCGTGCAGCGTAGCGTGTGTGCGGAAATCAGTCCCAAAGTGAAATTGCAATAAAACGTTAATTGGCAACACGCCATTCTGAAAAAAAATTCACATTGGTGGGCGTGTGTGAGTGTGTCTCTGTGTGTCTTGTTTTTGATTCCCTTCTCATATTTAAGGTGCCAGCAAAAACAACCAGCAAGCAAGCCCCAAACGAAAACGAGTTTCCAATAAGGTAGCCATATTCAATATCGTATCGAATAAGCATCACTAGGAGGTATCCAAGTAGCACCGTTGGATCGACGTCGTGGCCTATATCCAAAATAGATCAGCAGCAGCTGCAGCAAGCTGCAACGAACTGCAGACAGACTGAAGAGAGCAGAGCAGAGCGGAGCAGAGAAGCATCTATGAATGTACCCAGTGCCGCCATGTGAGAACTTAGTCCAAAGTCTAAGAGAAAAACTAGTTTTCCCATTTGCGCGCTTATGCTAAATAATAATAATAAATAAGCGGAGTTTGTTGTTGACGGAGTCGAGTTCGCTGTACGCCAGAGACGAAAGACAAGAGACGAGAGACGCGAAACGAAAGAGTGACCCACAAATACTGGTTTTCTTCAGCGGCCTGCGTGAGAACGTGCAGCAATGGCCTCAACGGCAGGAACAACAACGGTCGTGGTTAAGCGGCCTGGACCGCCAGTACCACCAAGACCTAAAACTACAGTGACAGCTCCAGCTCCAGCCTTAGCAAATACTCCTCCAATCATACAAAAGAAGCCCACATTCGTAAGCCAACTTAGTAGTGCTGTGGGACGTACCCTGGTTTATAAATCGCCAGCGTTGAGTGTTCAGAAGAAACAGGCTCAAACGCAAACACCAACATCGGCCGTGGGGAAACTCTCGGCAACAGCAGCGCCACCGCCGGCTACCAAGCCACTGAAACTGCGCAAAGCTCCCGATGTACCCACAGCCAAGCCCAGGGACAGGGACTCTATTGGTAGCAGTCCAGCAGTAGTCGTGACTGTTAATCGTCACAAATCGATGAGTGTGGGCACCTCTAGTGCACACACCACTCCCCTCAAGGAGACTCGCCTAAGTCTTGGCAAGGTGGATTTCGAAAGGTCTGGCCTCGGGCTACAGGCCACGTCCCAGCCGCTGCCAAAGCCGCGCAAGATCGTTAAATTGCCCGTAGCCACGCTGGATGTGGAGGATGTTCCAGCGTTCGTACTACCACCTGCGTCTACGCCAGCCCCCAGCATCTTTCGACGATCGAAAACCACGTTGGATACCTTTCAGACAGCCACAGCATCCTCCAGCAGTGGCATGTCCTCCAACAGTGGGGGATTCCTCGGTGGCCGGACCGTGGAGATCAAGAACAATTTGAAGAACGCCGCGGAGCGTCTCTTCTCAGAGATAATCATTAACCAGAGTCAAAAGCAATCCGTAGCCGATACCACGATCATAACCAAACACGAGCGTGCTATACAACATCAAGCGGTGCTTCAGCAGAACCAGACCATCCAGACACCCCAGACACCCCAGACACCCCAGACACCCCAGACAAACTGCATGCGCATCAATGTCAATGGGAGCTACGACAAGATCCTGGCCAATAGTCGCACGAACACTGTCAAGAGTTCGATTAGCGTGGGCAATACTCCCGAGAAGAAGCAAGCCTTCCATGAGCTGCTCATTTCCGAGTTGGCTGCAATGCGCAATAAGTCATGCTCCCTGGAACAGCTGCCCACTAAATCCCTGTCACTGGCGACTGTAGGCTCCCCCACAACCACATTAACGCCCAGGAAAGAGATATCACGTCATCGCTACAACTCAATTGATGATGCCGATGATGCAGAGGACGTGGATGCAGACAATGTAGAGGATGCAGACAGCGACGGGGACGAGGAACACACACTTACCACCTATTCGGCCAACAAATTGGGCAAGGAAAACACTGAGATGGAGACTGAGGGCTCATCTTCAGGAAGAAAGCGTTGCCCCTCGGGCTGCTCCTCAGATTCGTCGCCGTATGGGACGGAACGGTTGCAACGTATCCGTACTTCAGACTGGATTGAGGTGGGCGACAATGGCACACAGGTCACGCTAACCAGTTGCCACATTAGCCTCGAGGACTCTGGCATGGAAGATGAGGAACGGCTCGATGATATGTCCTCATCGGGAGTTGGCGATAGCTGGGATAGCGTCAAGGAAGCAGAGAGCGAAAAGCGTTCTCGCAGCGTAAAACGGTGAGTCACAAGAGAATTTAAATTATATTTAATTGTGTTAGTTAATAATACGGAATCTGAGTCAGTCACAGCTATGTATGTACAATGTGCATACATATACATAGTCTGATAATAAAGATACAGTTCTGTAGCCCTTTTCCACTAATTCGCTAATGAACTGCCGCAGTGTTTTCCCCGAGTTTCACTAGGCTTTACCACTGACACGCTTTTACAAGTATCTCCATCTATCTGCTCTCCGTGTGCATCGCATCCCACGAAAGCTTTGCTTTTGAGCACTTCCATATTCGTATCTCTTGGCCCATTGTTTTTTTGGCTCCCATCTCTCATCTCTCACAAATGGCTGCCAGAGTGAGATCTCGATGGGAGGTTGAGGTTTGTTTCACCTTAATTTGTGTGGTGTGTGGTGCTGACATCATTTTGAATGTAGTTTGTTGCATGTTGCAAATTGTATGTTGCATGTGTGAGCACTGCGCTTCATTGCAGTTGCAACAGCAACAGCAGCAGCAGCAACACACTTTGCAATATTTGCCAACTAATACTACTTAAGTTTTATATTTTTGTTTATATGTTGTTTATGTGTGTGTATATGTACATATTTTCTCGTAAATATTTTAAAAGCAGAATTGGACAACAAAAACCCGTTTTCCGTTGAGTCGCTCTTTTGATATTCAAAGTGTTTGTATTTTAGCTGCGTATACAGTACATATATATTTACATATAATTATATACACACATATATGTACGTACGTACGTATGGCAGTATGGCAGTACAGTACGTGTTTGTAGTGCGGTGAACAATAATGATTATCGTGACTCACATTGCTTGGCATTTGCGCGATCTCGCACATCGCACAGTACGACCAATTTACGAGTGTGTATCGTATCGTATTGTATCGTATCGTATCGTTCATACTTCACTCGTACGTACACAACGGTACATTTGCTTATTCACACGAATCACATCACCCCATACTCTCTCATAAACAGTCCAGAGAAGTTTATACGGTATATGGTATGTGCTCTCTAGGGTGATGATTACTCAAAAGCTGACAATTCTTCGCCTGCGCTTTAATTTGTTGTTTTGTTTGGAAAGTTGTGAAATATTCATTTGATATGATCTGTGGTATACATACATATGCCTTTGAAATATTCCACTGTTCGATTTTGTTCTGTGGAAACTAATCTTTCAAGGTACATATCTTTGGAGCAATTAGACTGATTAACACACAAAGTGTGGAAAATATGTTATGGAGTCATGGGGTTATAGGGGCTGACTCTCATTTTTTCAACGCTTTAAAGCCCCCGTTGCGCATTAGCTGATAAAAATGTATTTATCTTTATCTGCTCTGCTACAAATACACATACATACATACATGTGTACATTGGTTTTTGTGTTATCGAGAAGTCCCCTACTTTCCCCTACTGTGTAATGCAAACGGTAAATTGCATCTTTTCAATACATTGCAATGTACAACATGTAAAATAAGCAGTAATACATATGTACATACATATATACTCTTGTGCATGCATGCATTTACTGTTTATGTGTTGTGTGTATGTACTTATGCGGTGGATAGACGTCGAAACTCCGTCGCCAGCATTATAAAATAAATTCAATCGCGGCGAATGGAGAGCAATTGGAGCACCAATTCCAACATTCAACATGCTGCTGCTGCTGCTGCTGTTGTTGTTGTTGCTGCGGCTGCTGCTGCTGCAATGCTCATGCGCTCATGTATTGCATCCGTAGATGTTGCTGTTTCAACTCCAATTTAATTGCATAATCAGTGCCGTTGTCAAGAATTGTTTACCATTTCCGCACTTTCCGGTGCCACAAAGACAGAGTCTTTCGAAGCAATAATTCATATTCAAGAGATCCCACTCAATGACAATCCCACTTGGACAGGAGGAAACAAAAGATCTGAGTCTTTTAGAGTTTCTGCTGGAACAGAGCCTGATGGTATTTGGATACATTCGATTTGGTTTCATGTTTATCTTTGAGCACTGTGCTTATTTGTTTATATCGGTTATTGTTGTTGTTATTATTGTTGATTTTTAGCTGTTTAAATAATCATAGTCCGACCCAAGGCACTTCCGCGAGTGGAAAAGTTTTTAAAAAATTACTAAAGTGCTTGAATGTTTGTATATAATATTTGATATAAGGCTGATACATATATATGTATATATATACATATACATACAGAAACGGTACCCCAGAGATTTATGGTAACACAAAGAATCTACTTGTGGTCTTAGAGTCTTAGAGTCAGTAGACCCAAAAGGAAAGGCACTGAAACAATGGTTCACAGCTATTTGGAGACACCTTCAACTAAGGTTACAGCTGCGTCTGTGCCTGTCGCTTTTGGCTGGAGAGCTGTGGTAATTGTGATGAGATGTGCCCCTGCCACTCACTGCCAAAGATACAGAAGTCAGGTTTGGGTTGAGAGTGTGAGAACCGTTAAAGCATGTATGGCCAAGTGACTCGGCAGTTGGCTCGTCGCGGCTTAGCTGAGCTTTTGACTACCTGACAAGCGTACGAGACATTTTTGGTTTGTTTCCATTCCTACATATTTAGAAATGATGCGACAGATATTTCAGAGTTCAACTACCTTTGGTTCTGGTTGTGGTAAAAGCGATGCACTTGTCCCAAGGTGCTAGCCGACAGAAAATACTTTCTAGACACATTCGCAAAGCGAATCCTACCAGGGGACGTCTGGGTGCTAATTTCAAAGTAAAGACTGATTCCGTGAGAAACTAACCAAGCCAAAATATGCGGAAGAGTAGCCTGGAAGCGTAACTGGACCTGTAAGGCAACCTGTTGGATGTGGATGTGGTTGTGGTTGAAGTTGTGGCACACATGAGCGTAGGCTGACTGCTTGTTGGCTTACATAAACCAAACAAAAATGGCAAAACTTTTGGATTTGGATACTCTTATTTTATTGAGAGACAGGCAGACACCGGCACAGGCACAGGCACTGGAACTGGCACAGAGTCGCTCCTCTGAGAGTCGCAAGATTGGAGTAGCAGTAACCGAACCGGAAGCAAATCAGCGGCTGGACTGGTGCAAAATGTTCACAAAACTCACAATAATAATGTACATATGCAAACCTCCATGTTGTGGAGGTACTTGTGTACAAGTATTCCACTTTCAGGCCTCGTTTCGCTAAGGATTTGAACGCACCAAACAGAACTGTTATTTACTTTCATTTGAAGCGACTTCAGCGTCGAATACGGAGTTTGTGAATACTTTCTCTACGAGAAGAGGGCAAGGGGTCGTTCCAAGATCTCCTCACGCTTTGAGCTTTACGCTTCTTTCACCTTGCCTCAACCTCAGATGACGAGTTAAGATTTATCCTGTGCCATTCGTTGATTATCAACTGTACGGATTTTGTAGACCTTAAAGGAATGAAGAGAATGCTTTATTCTACGCACAAAATAAAACCTCAGCGGGGCATTGCCCATGCTATCCGAACAGTTTTTTAAGTCATCAATAACGTGCGATGAAGCGATCAACAAGTTGCATAAATTAAGGTGGCATAGCTCTGGGCAGGGCAGGGCAGCCACTTGCTCGCATCGTTCTACTAACCAGAAATCCGAAAATTTCGCTTTTCGTTGTGTTTAAAAGAGAAACCAGACCCAAGACTAATCGCGATGCCGTTCAGTTCGGAGCTGGGTGAAAAAACACACAAATTTTATTTGGGTAACTAAACCGAGCCGAGCCAAAGCTCTATTCGGGGCTTATTTGCATGAGATTGGTATTGGATTGGATTGGTTTATATGTGTGTATGTTTAGAAACTAGAAAACAACCAAAGCCAACGGAAATTTATGGTCTATGCAGTCATCGAATGCGGCCAGTTGTGGCTGGTCTGGTGTGGTGTGGAATGAAAGCGAAAACGGTTCAATATGCGCCATTTCTTTCGTTGGTGTTATCAGAGATCTAGGGAGTGGCAAGGTAAGGCAAGGGCCACTGCCACTTGCTTGGGCATCGGCAACGGGAAACGGAGATCGGGGATCTGCTGCACGTAGAGGTAGAGTGCGACAAGTCGTGAGTACTGATGACAATAACGATGGAAATGCTACGCGTACTTGTTCACCTTCTCACTTAATTTGTGCCGAATACGAGTCGGCTATGCGAGGAGCAGTCCAGCGGAGGGCTTCGCTTCGAACACAATGGAAAATTATGCCTCATTAGAATGCGTGAGAAAGTTACAGTGAGAAACGTTAGCATAAGTTTATTGTGCCTCCATTGAGTCTCTTCTGTGCTGTGCTGCGTCCTCATTAGCTGGTGTTTTAAAAAAGCCCGAAAGTGGTCATCGTTGCTATTTAAATCGAACTCCTCCGCCATCCACCATCCACCATCATAGCTCCACAGCATGTTCCGCTAATAAGACTGAATGAAGAATAAACCGAATACACCTTTTGTTGGGCCCCAAGCGAATACGTTTTTACTTGCAGCCGGGTGCTGGGTGAAATTTCTGGGTCAAGTATTGATATTATGATCACGTAGGTTGATTGTCGAGAAATCGTCAGATTTTGCAGTGGCCCAAGTGGCTCTTTGGCTCTTTAGCTCTTTGGTCGTTGCGGCGGTAATGGTATCCTGTCCCGTGCCCCTGCCCGTGCCCGTGCCCGTGCGTGGCATGCCCCGATTTACCACCTGCGCGATGCTATGCGATTGTCTGCACTATTTTCGTTGCGTTCAGCGCCGCGATAGGCGATAGTGCAATGGAACTGTAGCGTAGCTCTGCGATGCATAACGGATGTCGCAGGCAATGCAGGAGTCGCGCCGCAGAGCACTTTTTCCTGGTTTATATTTAGAATGCGACATGCCACGCTACGCCGCATGCCCCCAATTCGCTTTGGTCTCGCTTTGGGGCGGGCAAGGCTAAAGCAAATACTCGCATCCCAGTTGGGGGGACAAGTTCCACGGGGGTTCCACTCGACATATTCGAATATTTCTGAATGAGCGAAAACAAGGCGCTGCGCTAGAATTTTATGAGTATTGCCGCCAGCCTGCCCTTTGGTCATGGTAAAGAGCTGCCAGATACAGATAGATTAGTTTGTGTACGATGTACATGCATACATAAATACATACATACATACATACATACATATGTATGTACATATGTATGTGCATAGATATGTAGTGCAAGAGAAGCTACCTTACCTTTTCAGCAGCGGAGCAGCGTGAGAGTGTTTTTCGGTTGACTCTAAATATATCCATCGATTTGCTGATGACAGCCGGTACAGCCGGTACAGGGTGGCCGAACATCATTCAAATCCAAATCCACAACCTTAAAACATTTGTCGCCCATGAAGCACAGCATAGCCCCGTCCCACCCCGCCCTGCCACGCTCCTCATTGATCATTTATCAGATGAGACGAATGCTCTCTGTTCTGTGCTTAGCAAACCCTGTGTGCCATTTTGTTGTTATTATTAAATCAATTTACGCATTTCTTATATATTTTTATCTTTGTCTTGATGTCTAATTCTCAAATGGCTACATTGCATCTGTATTCCGTATTCCGTATTCTGTGTGCCTGCTCACAGGTCTTTCTCTCTCTTTATCTCTGATCTCTGTTGATATATTTGTTGTCTTTCTTCGCGTTCTCTCTTTGGGACTTGGTGGGATTTGAACGTGGCTAAAAGCAGCCAGCGTTTGATTTTTAGTTGCACGCGAATTTCTGAGCGCTATCAAGCAAAACAGGCGAAACTTACAGTGAATTAAACAATTTAAATCGGAATCTTTGTCTTTGTGCGAAACGGAACTACGAAAACGTCGATTATATGTTCATATTTCCCATATTGTTTTTACAAATCTTTATTTGTGAGTACGGGCTAAATGCGCTTGATGAGCATAAGATCATTGATCAAAATAAAATAAAATAAAAGCAAATATTCGTCTAATATAAAATACGCACATATGTTCATATATGTATATGTTTCGTTAAAAAGAAAAATAAATATTCGTGTCGTGTCAATTCGATTGTGATTGTGATTGCCTAACAAATGTTGCCGTTGCCTTTGCCGTTGCCGTTGCCGCAGTGTTATTTCAATGTGCTTATAATTAACAGCAAAGCAAATACTATTTTAACAGTCCAAGCCTGTAGAAATATGTATATAAGTTTATAAATAAACATAAAAATATACTTGCGCATATTGTAGAACTATTCATGTTTGTGCAGTGTAATATTCGTTGACCTCTGCCTTGGCGAGGCATAAATAAGGGCTTCTTGGATTGCCTCGAATTGCCTCGCAAAAATCATTCTGTGTAATTGGTTTTCCATTAAAATACAAGGGTTCTATTCATTTGTTAACCTGCTTTATCCGTCCATATCCATTTATAATCCATGCACGCAAATCATCCAAAGTATTCGTCCGCTTTTGGTTATGACCATTTGCTGACTTAATGAATGTTTGCATAAATTAATTAAACTATTGAGTGTTGCATGTGGGTTAATGAATTTGTTGAATCGATCCAATGCATCCAAACTCGTAAATAAAGATAACTTGTGCAGGTGTTTCCTATGAGTGCCAGCCGTTTGATTGTCCAATGAACTACTGAACACAATGAGAGAAGCAAATTTGATGCAAGGAATTTACTTACAACAGAATCAGAGGTACAGATTGAAGGCAGTATGCGATTGTCTATGAAACCCCTTCTATAATAATACGAGTGTGCCTTTTGTTACTGGATCGCAGAGCAACATTCAATGCGAATATTGGTAGCGATCAACCGCTAATCAAGATTGTATTGCCTTTTATCTGTTTTATATTTCGTTCAGAAGTGGCTACTGACTTCTGATTTATCTATTAAGTGGGTCAGCTGCGAAGCTGCCGTGGCGCAGTTGCTTAAGAGAAAAAGCAAAATGCGTCTTGCATTGACAATATGCTTGTATCTATGGCTCTCTGGCTGTCTGGCTGCTTGGCCTATGATGCATTTGGCTCTTTAAGAAATCGTTGAACTCGTTGGCGTTCGTTGGCGTTCGTTGGCGTTCGTTAGCGTTCTAAAAGCTGTAAGTTGATGGCCTTCGTTTCTGGTTTGTTGCTTGCCTTATGGATATAAGTTTACCTTTGCAGACACTACACCCTGTATACGCGCATTCGTTTATGCCTATGTATAGTACAAAGTTTCTATGCTTACAGCCTGGGATAATATTACAAATTGAAATGTCATTGTTTGCTGCGTGTTTTCTGTCTTTGTTTTTCGTTTCTGTTATGTTTATTGTGTTGCTTCCGATACCCTTCGAAAAGTAATTTGTTGATATCCAGATATTTATCGTTCAATGAAAACATTGCAGCTAATGTCATAAGTCGTTTGAAACGCAAGTTAACCGAACGAAAGTCACCGAGAATGTCCGAAGACCTGGACGATTTGTTTCTGTCGCCCATACCGGCCCCCTCATCAGCGGAGCTACAGCAGTGCATCTTGTTCGGGTTCCGGCGTCGCCTCTGTCCCACCCAAATAGTCGACGAGTGCCGCAGCGCTTTTGGACCGTTCTCGCCGAGTGCTCAGTACGTGTCCAAATGGTACCAGCGCTTCCAAGACGGCTTTTTCAATACGAACGAAGATGCAGATGCGGATGCAGAGGAGGAGGCGGCTGCAGTTGCGGCGCATGGACGTGGGTGTGGCCAAACGCCAACTACATGCAGCGACTATGACGATGATGAGGTGGCGGGAATATTGCCCCTTGTCTTGAATGATATCGGGCATTGCCATAGCCCCAACCTCAACCCTATAGATATCAATGCACATGAGAATGAAGACGATGATTTTTACAATGATAACAATGATGATGATGATGAGCTTGATGGGCATGTTATTGGTTATTGGCATGGTTATGGCTATTTGGGTGGCAAGCGAAGGTATAGTTGGGTCTATAGTTGGGTTTAACTTGCTCTGATCGCCGATCTGATGACTTCCAACTAACGTCGAGCCTCCTTTGACTAAACTCGTTTTTTCTTTCTCTTTCCGTTGCAGTGGAATTTCCATTAGTGCGCTGCCGCCCCTGCCAAAATCCCTGATTGGGTTTAACAAACTTCTCGGCTCCGATTCGGGCCTGCTTCTCAGCGATGGCGATGTGGAGGCAGTGGCGCAGCCGGCGGCAGCACCGCAGCGGCTCAACAATAACAACATCAGCAGCAGCAGCGAGACGAACCAAAAACATACGAATATAGATATCAATTTAAGCAGTCAACATAAGAGGGAAACAAATGATAATAACGACAATGAAATTGATAAATCGACGCCGAAGGCAGCACCACCAGCAGCAGCAGCAACACTTGAAATCATAACTTCATCAAATTTATGTGAAAACGGAAACAAAACCATCACGACATCAGCATCACCTCCAGCAGCAAAAACAAGAGCCCCGAATGTTTCACCTGCGAAGGAAAGTCCCAATCTCAATGCCAGCACTCTGGATGACCAGATAGCGACGCTGCGAAAGGAAATGGTAAGTTCTTAAAGGTAAACCGATACCTTTCACCCTTATCTGAATAAGGGTCAGGCATTTGTATGGACAGTAGCTATAAATATGGGCTTCTGTTGTTCCGTTCCTGTTGGAGGTTGAACGCTTCAAAGTACCTTTCTAATATAGATACACACACTCACATACATACAGAAGAAAGTTATACTTCAGCCCCGAAAAGAAAGGTTCAACTTTGGCATGGGCACAGTGTGCTATAGTTCATCCAATTTAAATAAACGGCCATAATATATGTATCAAAACCAGGCAGTGCAGAGACAAAAGGGTGCTGGAGCTTTCAATTCATTCATGTCATATTGGAAAAGAAATTATCTTGACATTTAACAAAGAGGAACACATATACCGTCTACCGTCTACCGTCCACAACCTTAAACATTTTTATAGGGTTACCTGACATTTTGCCAAATTTCGTTTTGCAATCGCAAACAATTGCTCAAAGTTGAAACCACAGCGCACCATTTTCGAGTCGGATTCAATTCAGTGCTGAGGCTGAGTAAATGGGTTGGACGACTCACAGTAAATGTCAATTCTGCTGAAGCCCTACAAAAATAGGTCAGGAACTGGTTAGAATGGACGAGCAAATGATATTACACGAAATTTGTATTATCACGAATACTTATCGCTTATTTGCACAGCCGGATATTGGATCGTTTATGCCTAAATGTCAGATGCTAATGCCAGGCGCAAAGTGTGTGTTTAGTTAGTCACACGATCTCTGTGACCTGTGATCGGACTCTAACACATTTGGGACCAGTTTGGGCCAAGTTCTAGTGATGTCTCTTAGCCATTGGGCTTGGTCATCAATTAAATAATTTAAGACAACTGCCACTTGTGTATTTCGTTTGCAATCGGGTTGGGTTCTCGGCCATGCAACTGTCTCATATCGATTCGTTGTACATAACGCTATATTTTACAAAAGTCTGAGCTAAATCTGCTGAACCTTTCACATTTTATGCTCGCTGCCAGTGGCTTGTTTTTCTATACATACGTACATATATATGAACCTGTTTAAAACTGGCTCAGGCTGAGGCCAGGCGTAGGTGTGGGTGTAAGTTAACTTATGTCTGTCGCAAATTAGGAGCGACCATTTTCCGTCAGTATCCGAGTTTTAAACTTCTGGAAAAAATGTCTGTTTTCGTGCTGCTCCGATTTAAACGTCCATTTGGTGGGAACAATCGGAAATAAAGGAAAACGAAAAAAAAAAACGTGAACCATTAAAACCAAATGCAATGCAATTTGCATGTCAGCTCTCAGCTCTCAGCTCAAGTTGTGCAATATTGTTTGAGACTTGGTGGGGTTTGGCATTCGGCTTTTAGGAGCAGGGCCTCCGCATCAGGTATAAATTGATAATTTTGTGTAGCAAAATTGCAACTTTCATTAGCAATTTTGCAGCATAATTATGTTACAATAAGGTGATGCGTGTCTTCCATCGATTACTTTATATTTTTGTTTCCATTAGTCCTTTCTTTTTGTGCTCTTTCTGTTGTGTGGTTGTTGTTTCCACTACCAAAAGATACCGCCGCTGGCAACGCTGGCAAAGCTGGCAACGCCAACGCGCAAGCCCAATGACACTTTAATTGGTCATTGTATTTTTGTTGTATTTGTGTTTACCCAACGCCGACCGAACCATTTGTTGCAGTTGTGTGTGCTGTTTTTGCTTAGGCATTTTAATTTATTCGTTGCCACAATAACGACAGCGAGGCCTCGCTTTGGCCTACCTCTACCGAGGTTTTAACTACTTTTCGTTCAGTTTATCTGCTGCGATTACTCGGGCAAAAATGCACAACGGGGAGCCGGAGGTAACAGAAAAACTTTATTTGCACAGAAGTAATCGCCATCCTCTCATTTCAACGATTTATCAATTCCATAAGTTGTAGCGCTTTTGATCAGAGATAGGGTATTTGCTTGTTAGTGTAGCCCAGCGATATACATCCATACATACATATACATATACGTATATGTATGTATGTATGTACAAATGTATGAATAGTTTTTTTCAGTTTTGCAAATGTTGCGGTCGGTTGATTAACGATTCAAGCTCTCTGATCTGTGGTTCGGTGGGTGGGTGTGTTTGTGGGTAGGGAGTGCGATGTGTTTTGCAATTATGTTAGCTGCTTGTGCTGTGGCCGCTTTTGCTTTCGAGTGCTGAACCTATTCAATAGTTAAACAGCTGCTTAGTCAACTCAAGATACCACCATGGTATGCACTCGTATTTTTGGCCGACTTCCATCGCCATTCGGCTCTATAAAGCCGCTTTTACTTATTGTAATTGCAAAAACTGAAAGTAAATGATTGCTGAAGGTCAGTGAGGCAGCTAAGATTATTAGATCAGGTTTCAAAAATGCCAAGGATAAATAATTGTTATTGTTATACTCGCACTCGTACTCCAAGTGAACAAATTCAGAATAGCTATAATACATATATAGCGTACATATGTACATATGTCTATGGAATGCAATCACCTATAGAAAACACCAACAGCAGTCAGTCGCCATAGAAATGGGTTCGACGTCTTGATTGGCAAGTAAAATTATGCTCAATTGTTACCGCCGCCATCACATCAGCCATTACCGTCACCATCTCTAATGTGCACTCGTACAACGATGAAAATGAAGTAATAAACTTTGGTTAATGCAATCCAACGAACGCATCAAAGAGAAATAAAAAGCACAAAGCCACAATGGGAGAGAGAAAACAGGAGTAACACTAATCAGCGCATGCGCAGCGCAGCGCAGCCATTAAGCGCCGAAGCAAGCAGGCAAGCAGGCAAGCAAGAAAGCAAGAAAGGTAGAAAAGCAAGCAGTAAACCGAGTCAGCTTCAGCTAATTTATGTTGTTTCTGTTGCTCTGGCTTTTGCCAGATGCCAGATGCCTTGGTTATGCCTTGGCTTGGTTATGGCTGTAAATTAAATTTATGAACGCAAAGAGGCAGCGGCAGGGGCAGCAGCAACGGCGACCACATTAACTAAAGCCAAAGATCCGACGGGGCAGTTTGTGAGAAGAAATGCATCAATGCATGAAATGAGTTTTTATGGCTTACATAAAATGGCCTTGAACGCCGCCACACCCCTTAGCCCCGTATTCTTTCTATCTTTCCGTTCCGTCAAAAGAGCAGTGCTTTGGCAACCTATCAAAGTGTGTGTATCTTGGTTAGCTAAGTCACGGTTCCTTTTGCGGTTGCGAGTTCTCACCTGCTTTACTTTATTTGGCCAGGTGCCAAGCATGGAAAACCAGCCATCACTGGGCACTGGTATGGAACATCAAATGGTTTGGTTCTGTGTGCTGTAACCGATGTGATGCGTGTAATCCGCATGGGTTATACTTCGTCAGTTAGCTAATTTGCGTAGCTCAAGAGTGTGCTGAACCTGTTCCACTGAGTCTCACTGCCAGCCAACAAAACTTGTGATATTTACGAGTGGAAACAACAGCATTAATTGCATGAACTCTACTAAAGGTTATGGCATTTCTGATAGTTCTGATAACGTAACTGCTCGGAGTTTGGCTCACAGCAGGGGATCCGAATATCATTTTCCGATCTTAAGGAATAATTTGGTTGATAGCTTATCATGTAAATACCATTATTATTAGCCCATTATTGTTTGTGTTATCTCTTCTAAGTCCAAATACACTTCCAGAAGTGACATGAGCAAAGACCATAACCATAAGAGTATCCAGGAAAAAAGTTAATTCCATTTTTCCGCAACTGGAGGCAGTTATTTTTGGATACTTAACGTGTTCACATTTATGGCGTTCGGTTTTAGTTGTAATCAGTGTCAGGAGGAAACACTGTGTTTGTGTTTGTTTACGCTACAATAATCTTTGAGAGTACGAGTAGTGAGGGCTTAGTTAAACACCCCTCAAATAATTGTATGAAAATGTTTCAGACTGTAACACATCCAGCGCCTGGGCATAGGGGCATAGGCGTGCCTATAAATCAGCGTGTAATCGTCTTTGAAATCAGCTCTATCTATAATCTGTGTTTACCAAGCAAATTAACATTCACTTTTGCAGTTTAAAATCAAAACAGGGGAAGCCTTTTATGTGCTCAGGAATTGCAAGTGAAAGTTCAACGATTGCTTCTAGTATTGCAGCGACAATCCCCGATTTCAGACCCAGCTTGTGATTAAAGTTGCGCACAAATTAGGAAAAATACTTGCATGTGCCCACGGCCAGAGCAGAGGATCCCATCAAAAACATTGCTTCTGTTGTATCTTCTCGCCCTTAGAATTCTTTTCCACTTCTATTTGTGTGTGTTTTTCCGTGTGAAAGGCATGTTTTCTTAGTTTATCATTCACTTTGTCAGTTTGCCAATAAAACATTACATCATTTCGGATTGCAACTGCAATGAAAAAGCAAACCTGTCCAAGCCACTGACTTATTTATAGCCCGATTCAGTGTTTGACTACCGACTACGACAGGTTTTTCATCTGATGCCGGCTGCTGCGTTTCTAAATTGAAGAAGGAGGAAAGGCTAGCATCCCTTACATATCGCAGCAATTGGAGTATTCTATATTGAGTATATTGAACTATGTTGGGCATATACATATGTATATCTCCAGATGCATATGTATGTACATCGATTTTTTTCCATTTACATATACAGTATGTATATACTGATGGTCTAGTATGCTGCCAGGCAGGCTCTTCCGGATTCCGCTGCTCATTTGAAAAGGTCACAATTCACAGCACAAATGTTGAATGTCTAACTGTCAGTGGCTTCCAAATCTAAAGTCTTCGAAAGTCTAAAGATAGAATAGAATCTTCAACATATGCGTGCGCATAGTTGCAGTGCATCAATGGGGCAGGGCAGGGTGGCGGTGGCAGCCTTGTCTGGCATTCGCTGCGTTCATTGCCATTTATTATTGTTGCATCCATGAAATACTTTTACGGCTTCGGTTTCTGTCCCTGTAAAAAAGAGGCACATACCCGAAGTATAACCATTTGAGGCAGATGCAAGCGGTTTTAGCGCAATGCGCTTAGCGTTAATTAAGTTTCCTACATTATCGATTTTCGAATTTGTTTTATGGCACTTAAAGCGTCCAACGTTGGGCGTAAATGTGCAGGAGGGAACGTTTTGGTGCTTTGTCTACCTGTATTCCGTATAATTAACAATACAATAATATTGTTGGTGTACTTATCTTTTTTAATATATAATATTTATATTTATAAAAATAAGATGGGATTATTGCTTTTCCATATCCTACAACGAAGCCACAAAACTCTCATATTGGATGGGTCTTCCGCAGTGTTCAGACCTTTCGTTACCATGTCGGCATGGCATTGTAGTGACAGATTCTGAAGCTATTCTGGCGAAGTTATTTAAACATTTACATGCAAGTATCAGCTCGATCGTTCTCGCCCGGTGTGGGCGTGGGATGGCATGGCATGTGAAGTGTGTCGGCTTCTGGAGCTACAGTAGAGCCTCTAGTGTAACAAGCCACCGACGCATATGCGAAACCTTTCTCTCTGCACTCGCGAATGGGTGCCGGGTGACTTCTTGGGCGTATGCAAATTAATCGCTAATTAACATACATTCTCGTACGAGGCTATGCGTGGGAATTCGATCCAAATGGAAAAGTGTTAATAGCATTAACCTGACCTGACCTGACCACAAACAACCAATGAAACTACAAGCTCTGCAAAACAACTTACTAGGTCAAGCCGTACCGAATTACCATACAAGTATTTAATAATTTATGAAATTTCAAAACATTCCAACGTTTAAGAGCCGTTTCATGTTTGAAGAAATCAGTTATCTTTTTCTCTATGTGCAGCCTACCTCTGGAAACGAACACATTAGCATCTATCCCAGTGGGAGCTGGGATCTGGGATCTGGGGGCAGGTAGGGGTGGGGTTGTGGCGATACGATGCGAAGGCTTGAGCGGATTCGGTTAATTCCACGATACGGTGCAACGATGAATGACTGGGGCTGAAAGTTGTGCTGCGCGGCTTTTCCTTTTGCGCGCGATATTTGTGCCGCGATATTAATTGACAAATGAGATTTTTCCTTCCTACTCGACAGCGGAACAGCGACAGGGGAACTTTCATTTTGACCACAAGCCACAAGCGTCTTGCCAGCTCAGCTCAGCTCAAACGAAAAATACAGGCCAAGGCTGCATTCATACGCAAATGGATGGTTGGGAGACGGAGTTGGGAGGCATCAGCGCCACCGTCTCCAGCTGTCCGTTTGAAGCATTACTCGTAACTGTTTTGCGCTATTCAACGTGCCGCCGCCGCCGACGACTTTTGCAGTGTGCTGTGTGTCTGATGGGTGCTTTATCTAGCGAAGAGACAGGATAGGTCATGCTGCCCCCTCCCAGTCCCAGTCCCAGTTTCCTGTCCGTTTCCATCCGATTACTCCTGACAGGCCGGCACATTGATTGATAGATCCTTGAATATGTGCTTCGTGCTCTACAAAATAAGTTTATGCTTTGCCTTAACAGTGTACAATTGTTGTCGTTGTGACAATATTTCATTGCCCAATATATTCGTTAATAAGGTTAAATTTTTGTTTTCTTCCAGAACGGACTGCGTCAATTGGATCTCTCATTGTTGTCTCAACTGTGGGTGCTGAACGAATCTATACAAGAGTTTCGAGCTATGATCGAGGAGCAAGAGAACGAAGATGAAGACGAGGAGGAGGCTGACGATTTGGGCGTTCAGAATCAGGGCCATTCGCCAACCCCTTCATCCTACGAATCAGTTAGCTCCGAAGGCGGCGCAGATGTGGCTTCAGACGCTGTGCTGCAGACAAAGGCAAAGTGCCTTGGCACCATACCAAAGGTCATAACCACACAGCCGAAAATTATTAGGGAGCTGATCTCACAGCAGCAGGAGCAGCAAGATGCGAAGCAAAAGCCAGTGCCTAGAATGCGGAGCGCACCACCTCCGCCACCGCCCACAGCCCTGGCCACATCCATGTCCAGCATCGTGGCCACCAAGCCGACTGCCCCACCACGACCCACATGATGTTACTTTACAGACTTCCTCGCCGGAGTCAGGATGGTCATGTGTAAGGCGATTGTGAGCAACGGGCCGCAGTCGTCGTCCTTGTGTAGCGCTGGATCATCCCTTGGACTGGGTGTGGCAAGTTTGTCGGACCAGAAACATTGAAAATGTAGGTGGCTGCTTCGTGCGTAGATTGTATACCCTGTAGTTTATGTGTTTGATCGATTGATGAGATATCTGATCTTAATGTTCGTTGCACGGAGAGTCGTTCATAATAGGTTCTTAAACAAACTACTTCTAATTGCAAGTATTTCTTGAAATATCGTTGAAAGTATTTTCAGAGCGAATAAAAACTCTGAAGTGATTTCAAGGCAATACTATAATAAGGCATAAATAACATACATATTTACTTACCTCAATACGAGTATAATCAATATAATTCAACCAGCCCAACCTAATCTAATCGGTAGAATCTTTAAGGCCAAACTATAGGCTCTCGTACGGTAAGGAGGCCTTTGTGATCTTCAGTTGTAAGTCTATTGTAAATTGTTTCTTACGTGTGTAAGCCTCCGGGTTCAGGCATAACGGGTTCAACATTAAATTCGATTGTAATTGTAGCCCTTAGGACAAGCTTAGCTGTCAACAGAATCATCTCTTTAATTTTATTTGTGTTGCGGTTAATTTCCATTGTGCATTTGACCAATAACATTTGTATATATGCAAGAATGTAATACATCCATATAAAGAAACAACAAATAAACCATCAAAGCAAAAACTGTCCCCTTCATTTTTGGGATCCTTTTACACCAGGCTTACTCCATCCATACCCAACTGAATGCACGGAAAATCATAGCTGACAACTTCATTGCTATCATAGCTAGTATAGAAAGTCGGGCAAGCTTTGATGCCGGACAGGCCAGCCAGATTAATGTTCAGCTTGAGGCACATGTTCAGAGGAGCTACTACTGAGATCAGTGGAAGGCAATAAGTGGGTGGTGTCTTAGTGCTGACGGTGAAACTAGTCAAGGAATTTCCATCCATGGTGACTCCCACATCTACTGATCCACTGAGCACGCTAATTTTGAATGTCAGGCACACTGAAATTGGGCAATTGAAGGAAATAAATTAAATAAACGTAGTAGTGTTTGATGAGTCCCACATACGAGTCTTGGTTTCATTAACAGCGTTCACTGAAACGCTCTGGCAACAGCTGCAGGACAATGACAGCGAGCACTGGCATACTTGAGCCTGCGACGGTATGGTAATCAATCCCAGATTTGTTCCATTGGAGGCATCGGCAGCTGTGATGACTGCTATACCGTTTAGGCTGATAAAAGTTCCCAGGACCAAGAACATAACTGAACTTGGACTGAACATGGTTTTACCGCTTTGGTAGCTTTGGTTTTGGTACGATGAGGAAAACTGGTCAACCATTTTTTCAGCGAACAGTTTTTGTAAACGAAATAATTTCCCATTGCCATAAACTTTAATGGAAAATGATTTAGTTTTCGCGCATTTCAATTGATTTTGAAAAGGGTCATTTAATCTTTCGCAGATTTAATGCTAGGTACAAAGTCAAGCACACTGCTAAAAATTTGGTAATCCAAACAAGTCTACAAGTGTCTATTTTGTAAATAGCACAAAAATGCATGTTCGAACATGCCTCTGGACGCATGACGAAGTTATCCGAAAGAGAGGGACGGGGCCACCTCGCATAATGTCATCATGTATCGACATGTCAAAAGCTGCGCTGGCGCTGTCGCTGCTGTTAACGGTTGCCTAATGTTATCTAAAATAATGTTAAGTAACAGACTTACATCGACATAAAAAAAGCTCGCCGCCCATTGAAAATGGGTTTGCTGAACGTTTAGCCACAACCTGTTTTAATAGCTGATGGTGTGGGCTACACTTTCCTACATTTTAGAAAAATATTACTTTTCTTGTGTCTATTTTGTGCAGTGAATGTAAGCAGAATAAAAATGCATGTTAGAACATGTCTCTCGACACATGACGAAATTATCCGAAAGAGAGGGACGGGACCTTGTATAATTTCATCATGTCTCGACATGTCCAAAGCTGCGCTGGCGCTGTCGCTGCTGTTAACGGTTTGTTAATGTTAAGTAACAGACTTATATACATCGATATAAAAAAGCTCGCCGCCAGAAAACTTTCGTGTTTAGGTTCCATTTATTGTCGTCACATATCGCACTGACATACTTATGTATGTATAATATACATAAATATGTGTATTTACATTTATGTATATTTATAAATATACAGGTAGGACACAACAGATAAAAAGTATTCAATTAATTATGTACATGTAACTAACTTTATTCAAATCAAAAAAATGACTAACTCTTGGCCAAGGAGAGGGTGCTGGCCATGCTCACGCACTCGCTGGTGCCGGGGCCCGCCTCCACGCGTTCCAAGGAGTCCACAGAGCGAGAGAGATCTTCTTCGGGCCGGAGCTCCTGGTTTAGGGCGTGAGTGTTGTAGCAAAGCACGAGACGAGTATTTAGGCCCTCGAATATGCTGACCACGCTGGGCTTGAGGTTGAAGAAGATGATCTTCTGGCGGCGCAGTCGGAAGTCGTCCACCATGGACGAGATTACCTTGGCGGCAGTGAAGTCAGCGGCGTAGATGTAGGTGCAGTCGATGACTACCGGGAGGGTGGACTTGCTGCCCGACTTGAGAACCATGTTACGGACAAATTCCACAGAGGGGAAGATGAGACAGCGATCGGGTGTGATCTTTACGAAGCGTATACCCTGCTGCGTCTCGAGCTGCTCCAGCGTCACCTTGGGACGAGCCGCGTAGTACAGGATGAAGAGCAGATTCACGCCAATGGCAACCATGATGCCGATCTCCAGAGGCAGCACCAGGCAGGTGACGAAGGCCAGGATCCCAGGCACTAAATCGGAGCCTGCAATTGTGAGAGGAATGGTCAGATCGCAGGGGATTGGAGCAAGACTGGGACTCACGCTTGCTGCGCCACATTGGCGTGACAACCTGGTACTGGACCTGGAAAATAACTGCCGAGATGATGATCGCAGCCAGCACCGCCTTTGGAATCAATGCAAAGTACTCGGTGAGGAAGTTGAGAGCAAGCACCACAATGATGCCGATGTAAAGATTGGACATGTTCGTGCGGCAGCCGCTGGCATTATTTACAGCGGAGCGAGCCAGTCCACCGTTGCAGCGATAGCCGGAGAAGACGGACGTGGCAATGTTGCCTACGCCACAGGCTAGCATCTCCTGGGTAATGTCAATCTGCTTTCCCTTGGCGAAGGCCTTACAGACGGACATCGTTTCGAGCAGGGCCATAATTGGTACGATCAGCAGGCCGTATCCCATGCTCTGCACCATCTCCAGAAAGTTCTGGCCAGGTACGGGCGGGATGCCTGCCGTGGCATTTCCTGGCTGTGCTTCGATGGAGAAGGGCGGCAGCGAGGGGGTTGGCATGCCCTTCGGAATGTGGCCCGTGAGGCGGAAGGGATTAGTTCCCTTGGCGTCCAGATGCATCGTTATCAGCGTAAAGATGATCACGATCGAGGCGTTGCGGGAGGTGGCCAAGAACTTGATCACATGGTTGAAAACTCTCTGGAATCCATTTCTGCGGGACTCGTCCTTGGGGCCAATGGTGATTCTGCCAAGGCTGCGCATCGCCAGCAGCAGGAAGAGGCACCCGAAGCCCAGGCACGTGTCCGCCACCCGGATGTTTTCAATGTCCTTGAACATGCTGATCCAGGTCTCCAGAAAGGAGTCGCCATCGCTCTTCACCCCCAGCATCGATCGCATCTGCGAGGTGGACACGATTAGGGCGACGGCGCTGGTGAATCCCGCACTCACCGGCCCCGACACAAACTCCACTAGGCAACCGAGCTTGAAGATAGCCATGAAAATCTCTATGATGCCCGTGAGGAATGTCAGCAGCACGGAGCGCTGCCAAGACCCCTGCGCGAACTGGAAGGTCATGAGGGAAGCAACTGCCGTGCTCCCAATGGTGCTGTCCTTACACGTGCCCAGCAGTACGTACACGAAGCAGCCCATGAAGGATCCGTAGAGTCCATACTGCGTAGAAGAGTTTTGTTAATTCGGATGTGGAATGCATGTGCTTTAAGAATGATATGCATGTTCTTCGGTCTGATGCTTCTACCGTTGTGTTCGAGCATAAAATTGTGATCTTCGAGCCCTAGCACTTCCCTGATACTTTCGGACTGCTCGATCAAACCCGAAGTTGCTAACCAACTCGATCCATAATCTTCAAATTATCTTCGGATCTAAACGATTAAAAACTTCTCACTTTTAGCCCAGAACTTGCTAACGAGCTCGGATAGCAACCTTCCGACGATATCTTAATTAGGTAATCAGTAGCCTTCTTTTGCGACTCACCTCTGGGGGAAGACCGACGACACCAGAGTAGGCCAAACCCTGGGGAATGACCGTAAGCCCCACGGTTAAGCCAGCGAGAAGATCACCGATGCAGTCGCGCCTGTTGTAGCGGGGCAGCCAGGTTAGGAAGGGCAGGCGCTTCTTCAGGGTCTTCTTCCGGAAGATGCTGCGGACGTAGCGCGAACAGCAAGAGGGGGATGACTCATCCTGCTTGGAGGCCTCCAGCTGCTCGATGCTCTTGGACTTGGAGGTGCGGTGGTCGGTGATCAGAATGAAGTCCGTCGAAGAGCTATCAAACTGCGCCTCCAGGCTCTGGCTCACCTCCGCCTGCTTGCGAAACGTTACCTCGTTCTCCAGCGTGGACATTGTGGACTGGGCCTGTGATCTCGAATATGCGCACGGGCCAACTGATCTGATGAAGCCCCTTGGACATGCGGACTCAACCTGATGCTGCCCGGCTGCGTCACGCGCTCTTATCGCCGGAGGCTGTTTGCCCACCGACCGGCGCGTGCGTGTGTGGGAGCGGGATACAGGTTGTATCTTTCAGTTATCTCCACAGCGCCACCATAAACACGCCAAACTCTACACAGTAGCGATCTTGACAATGACCAGCCCCACTCCCAGTCCCGGCCACATCCCCCTTCTATTAGCCGACCATTTCGTTCCGTACCTTTGTTTGCAGTGGAATTCTCGGGCTGTCCAACTGGCACAACTGTCCCCATTGATCTAAATTTTTCCATTAATCAACTGAACGCCAAATGTGCTCTCGATATTGATCGGGTAAATATTTATCTTCACAGTTGTTAATCTGTGATTAGAGTGATATGTTTTCTTGGCCTGATACATACCCCGGATAATAATCGAAAGTGAGGGGTTACTGGGCGACTGCGAAAGGTGTATTTCATCAGTAATGTACATATGTACATATATGTGTAGTCTTCTGGAAGAAAATTGCCTGTACCTTAGGCAGTCAGTCTTCTTATCGGTAGCGACTCGTAGATATGAACAGAACAGAAGGAAAGCACACAATTTGAAAGTGTATAGTCTGGGCGGTAGATTCCGAAATGGTTCCTTATGGGACCGGCATAGCGAGTTACTGGAGTTTGGAAACGTTTCAGAAACGACATATCTTCTGCTGAAAAATGTATGGCAGCAGATATGTCGCCCGGAAATATGTCGTTACCCCATTTTGACATCTGACGATTTTTGGTTTCGCTGTGTTTAAGGTCCTGTAGGACGATGACAAACAAAAGGTAGGTATACATTTTTTAAATTTTTGTATTTTTTTTTATATTTAATTTTAATGTTTTTTTTACATGATTTTTAAAAATTGTATTTTAAAAGCATTGCATTATGTCATATAAAGTACGATATATCATTACATTATACAATCGTTTGTATTTCCTTTGTATTGTAGTGTTTCTTTTGTTTTGTATTGTGTGTTTAACAATAAGTTAAATTTATGTTTAAGCAATTTCATAATTCAATAGCATAGCAGTAATTGTTTCAGAGACCATGGCTATATATGTATCATATATATATAGTAGTGTATATAGGTATTATGTGTATGTGTGTGTACTGCGTGCATCCATGAAGATATTCCTCAATAGTGCGACTAAAACTAAAAATCGTGTGGCATTATCCCGCAAACGGTTGGTAATGCCGTATAAAAGGACAGATTGTATAATAAAATATAATAAAATAAAATAAAGAAAATGATCTGCGCAGAGGGCGTGTGTGTGTGAGGCTGCAGCGTAAACGTCAAGAGCAATTGCTTAAGGAAAGAATTTCTTTAGAGTCCACACTCCACTACTCGACTGCTGTCTATCTCCACATGTGTGTGTTTGTGTGTGTGTATCTATGTGTGACATCAACATTCGCCCAACAAAAGTAACAAACAAATGATTATGCATATGCATGTGAACCGAACACAAACAAACTCGAACCGAAATCAATCTGAAGAACGCAACAAACATTGAACAGGGATGAACAGGGCACCACCTCGGAACACCTCGTAAGAACAACAATAATTTTGGGAACATTATGTTTAGACTATTGCACGATTGCATATGTATGTAGTAGAGTGGCATCTGTGTGTTCCAGTGTCCGTTGGATTCCAGCTACTGCCTCCTATTGCCACATGCCAATGGTGTAGTTCCTGCTCAGGTGCCCCATGCGACGCTGACGTCCAACTGCAAAACACACGAACGATTGGATTAGTAGGGTATTCCATAGAGCTTGCCGACTGTTAGCAAAAGAGTGGTTAATTCTATGCTTAGGGATAGAAAGATACTTGGCACAAGACAGGGCATGACGCACATCAGTTCAGAACACCCCAGTGCCGGTGGCAGTGTTTGCACAGATACATTTGCCGTTGTTGACTTAAGGCTAACCTACCAGACGCTAATCAAATTCTGTATCCGCATAAATATTTGCTAACCCAGTTGGGGTTTATTTTTGGAGCATCTCCGCGATAAAGCGTTAAAATTAACGCCAGTCCAGTGATGGGGTCACCGCTTCAGCATAAGTGGTATCTTATTGTGCTTAGATCTATCTTAGGGAATCAAATATATTAATAATATAGTACATATGTATATCATAACGACTTTTACTGCCAACAGTTAACCACTTAATTAACTGCCTGGCCCATAATGATAATCTGACATAAACGTTACACATACCCGTATCTACCATATTCTTTACCACTAAAATTAACATATTCTTGATACCTATATTTAACTTAGTTTAAGTGTCTGAGCATTAGTTTCACTTAGTCGTTTCTGTCTATTTCATAGATATTGCATATGCTATCTTGTCCTACGCTTACTATTCATATAGTCATTATCATTGTATATATCTGCTCTCTAAATTCTTACATTGCACTTAGTAGGTTATCTTAGTTCTTTAAACGGAATCTAACAAATGAAAAGATACTTTACGTACTGCACAGGTCACACATCATTCTTCGGTGTTAGTTCACAGCTGGTTGGCGGTTGGTTGGTTTGGTTCGGGGTTTGGGTGGTTTTGGTGGGGATTTTTAGATTGAACTTCGACATGTGTGGCATTGTTCTTCGGCTCGCTTGCCAATGTAATGCTTGTTCTTGTAGCTGGTGGTGTGGTTGTGTTGGTTGCTGTTGTACGGATTGTTGGTTGTTGGTTGGTTAATCAGAATATGGTGGTAATCAGAAGTTGGACAAACAAAGACACACAACACACACATAGAGATTGCTTTCTGCCTGATTGTTGTGTTGTTGTTGGTTTCATGTGGCATCGTGTTGCTGGTTGCTTGTTGGTGGTTGGTTGCTGCTCTTTGTGTTGTCTTTTTATTTACGCTGATTCAGGCGTTTCACGCGTACTGCAAACATAGAAAGATAGAGAGTAGGTGCGTGTCGAGGTTGTGGTTTGGCGGGGCACAAAGAAAGAAAAGAAACAAATACAGATTGGCATTAGTCAAGTGGTGACAACTAAGAGTGAGATCTCAAGAGAGAGATTCAACAATGTTAGTTCAAATTTCAAACAATCAATCAGTCAATCAAACAATTATCAAATCAAAGGAACGAGCGGGTACAACATTCATGTTTCAGTTTTAGTTCAGCATAGGAGGGCCTCTCTCTTCACAAAAAAGAGAGAGGATCGTTGGCTTCTCCTCAGGTTTAGTCTGGGTTTTTGCTGGAAGCTTATAGTTTAGTCTGGGCATTTTTTGGGTTAGTAATCGTATACTAGGTTGGGAGCTGCGGCAACAACATCAAAGTACTTAAACAGAAGAAGGAGGGTACCAACTGTTCGCCGAAGGATACACGGAAATCAAGACAATGGCTCATCTGTTCTTTTCTGTTCTTCTCCATGAGGATGATGCTGCTGCTGCTTCTTATTGAATTATGAAATAGTGTCAAACATTCTATTCTGGTCTCTACTTTGAGTAATTTGATTGTTAAGCGGGTGGTTCGTCTCTTTGGTTCTTATGGTGGTGGGGGATTCACTTAGATCATACATCGCAGTTTAATTCCTATACGAAGAGAACATCATTAGAGAGAGCTGCTCCGTGGACCGCAGCTGTCGGATGTGTGGTGGTTTGTGGATTGTGTTTAACATGCGTATGTACATATATGCAAATGGTTTGGGAAGGGAAGGGAAGGTGTTATCGTGCAAAAACAGTATATAAATAAAGCAGAATCATCGGAATCATGCAACATCAACGATAGTGGTTTTTGGGGATGCTTAATGTCTGTGATCGGTGGAAGTAAGTACAAAGGCTAAGGATAATAAACTTGCTGAGGGAGGTTTTTCTTTGGTTACTCTTATGATTTAGCAATCCAATGGTTAGTAAGAAATTTGGATATGGACTTTGACTGCTCTTTGCTTGGGCATATCCTTCAATTCGGGTTTAGTTTAGATCCGTTCTTCAACGGTCTCCTGGGGTTATGCGAACATTCAGTAAAATGCCCTTTTATGGGGGCTTTTGCTAGTTGATGGATATGCAGAAGAAGCCATTCTGAGATGGGTATAGGATGCTGGTGGGCTGGGAGCACTTGTAAGTGCATTTTTGATTAGAGGAGCAGAGCGGAGGCAGAGGCAGAGTAGAGAGCAATTCGTGTTCATAGATACCTTTGTTAAGCATTAGAGAAAATTACACACGTAACACGTACAAATGTGGATCGCCTAAACGATTTCTGCTGGGATTAGAGGAGGCCTCGCGACTCGACCTCAAACATATCTTCAAACAAACATCTACGCGATACGGTATAGTATGTATTTTTAGGTAGTACTCTATACGAGTATATAATATATAATGATATTTCACTTTCGTTTTCTTTGCTTTGCTTTTCATTTGTTTTTGCTTAGTAAGAGTCTCTCTAGATAATATATAGATATGGTTCGACTTGGACTATATCCTTCCTTTTATATTATTTTATACACGTTCTTTCGTTGTTATTTTAGGGGGGCTCTTCTTCATTTCCTTTCCTTTCCTTAATTTTCTTTCTTCTTTTCTTTCTTTCTTTCTTTCTTTATATTTAGATTACAAAACGCTTTAAAAATGGTTTAGGTGTAGTTTTAGTTTGATTGCTTTGGTTGCTTTGGATGCTGATCTCCTATTGAATTCTTGTCGATTTTCTATGCAGATTATTGAAAAATCTGAACTGCAGTCGCAACTCAAGATCTTTTCTTACTGTAAACAGAAAAAGAGAGAGAGAAACAGAGGGGGAGAGAGAGAGGAAGAAACACATGAACAAATAAGGCTTAAACAGGACACCAAAAATGGCTTGAACAAAGACATAGAGAGAGAGAGAGAGAATTCGAGGAGTGGCTGCTGACTGTCTGGGATACTGAATTCTGTACTCTTCGGATTGAAGAGGGGACTGGTGGGGATACACATATAAAAGATACAAGATACATAGATACAAAATAGAGTGCTGTTTTGTGGTGTAATTGGTGTGTGTGTGCATGGGTGTGACTGAGGCTGAGGCAGTGGCCGCTGCGATGAGTGGGGCGGCTGGCGGGGTTAGTGGCACGAATCGTATGGATCGAATGGATCGTGGCTGGATTATATACACGGGACTATCGCTATCGATCGCTGGATGGAGCGAAGGCCGACAACGAAGATATCAACTCAGGACTGAGGAATCAGGAATCGATCGTAGTATTGTGTGGTATGTACATATTCTTGGTCTGCAAGTATCGGATCGTATCCAGAGTGTGTGTTCGGTGGGGGGATGGAAAGTTTCTTTCAGGCGGCGGCAACATCAACATCAACGACAACAACATCAAGGGTTAACCAATGAGGCGAGATACACAAAGGGATTGTATTGGATCGAATGACTGTGTCTGTACATATAGGATATGGATATTCTTGTGGTTTCTGTGGATTCTCTCCAAACATTCTGGTGGTCTGTGTGCGGTGCTGCAGGGCAGGGTGCTGCTGCTGCTTCTCACTCACGTGTGCGCTTGATAGACGCCCTCGTCATCGTAGTTGGGCGTGACGGAACGACTGCCGGGCACCACCATGTTGTCCGGGTCGAATTCCGGATCGAAGGCATCGCCACCGCCGCCGCCACGGATGACCATGTTGTCGGGATCGACCTCCACATCGTAGTCCGGCGGCGGCTGCGGCGATGGTGAGGGCGACGGCGTGGGCGTTGCCGAGATCGGATAGCGGATCTCGCGCTCGATCTCCATGTTGCCGGGCAATATCAGCTTCGGCAGCTGGGGTTTGAGCTTCTGGACGCGGAAGACTGCAGTGGACGCGGCAGAGGAGTGTTTTTTTTCGAGTGGGTTTCACGGGGGATAGAGTTTGTCGCAATTTACGACAGATACAGATAATTACAGATAATTGGTTAATGGTCTTCGCTTTGGCAAACAAATTGTTCAATCTAATGGTAATTACAAAGAGAGGGCCAGAGAGAACAAGGGGAAATAATACACAGAGGAGGAGTGTGGATCCGATCCTCGACCGGAGGATACACTAGCTAAACACTAGGGGTAGCGTAGGCAGATGTGTTAGCATGGGAACGGACGTGGAACGTGGGACGTAGGACTTGGAAGAATGACATATTCCGACTCTTAAAATGTACGATAATCACCCGACTTATATATGTATATATATATCTTATGAGGATAGAACACCTGGCCACAGGGCATCGATATATCGATGGAGTGAGCGAACGATAACGATAACGAGAGGTGGAGAACGATAACGTGAAAAGATAACGAGAACGAACGCAACGAAGGCAGGATGAAACGTTGTGTGAGAATGGATCACGATGTTAACGACTGGAACGAGTGGAACGAAAATGTTTCTGATGAGGCAGATGAGCAGGCCAAAACAGTTTTACCTGGTTACCAGCACATAAGAGAGAGATACAGAGAGATGGAGTTTAAGAAGAGACAGAGAAGGGACAACGGCACAACATTGCAGGCGATTGTGGCCATGGGATGGATGGGTTACCAAACTGCTGACATTCTCCCTTTTAGATTTCCTTCTCGTGGTCAGCCCTTCCACCAGCAACTGCTGCTGCTGCGGTCGATGATGATGCCTGGAGATTGCGCACTAGGCGCCCTGATGGTGAAAGATGATCAGAACCGACTCTGGGATTAGTAGTGCTCCAGGTGCGGGCCGTGACGAACTGCTCAAAGGCAGCCAGGCTCTTGGCCTTCGAGGGTGAGATGTCGATGACTTGATCTGGATGGGTGCTGGATGATGCTAGCGATGACTCTGATGCTGATGTACAAGCTGTTGCAGTGATGGTGTTGGACGCTAACGTACCTTGTTGCAATTCACCTAAACGCGCGAACGTGAGGCAACTCAATCAATAAAATACCTAATATTTGCAGGGGTTTTCTTGGGGAAGGAGAGAATCGAATCCTATCGAGTGGAACCGCGATCACTGCAAGAACCAACGATGACTGGTGGTGCCTGGGGAATAATCCTGTTGCGAATTCCTGCTGCGGAATCCGGGGAATCCGAGTTGGGGGGGACAACTTACTTCTGTCGATGTTGCGCTGGAGGTGAGCGGCCACGCGGTGGCGAGCATCGTTGAACTCCAGATGCAAGCCGAGTCGCAGCAGCGAGGGGTTCTTCTCCACCAGATCGGTGATCTCCATCTCGATCTTGTTGCCCAGCACCGCAGATCGCTGAGCGAGATCGAACAGAAGAAAAGGTCAAAGTTGAGTCAAAGGTAACACTGCGGAAACTTACCTGATTGGAAGCCCTGAACTCCTCGATGGTGTGGCACTTGAGCAGGGCTTGCACCAGCTTCACAATCACGGGCGGACTGATGAAGTTGGTCTCGACGTTTAATACTCTCAGGGTTTTGCTCTTCTCGATCGCCTCCGCGAGCAGGAGAGCTGTCTTGTCGGTCAGGCCGACGTTTGTCAGCGAGAGGACTTCCAGATGTTCGTTCTGAGGCAGTGCGGCGAAGAGTTGTTCGAGCTTCTCGTCCGAGATGTTCTGCAGAGATTCGAATCGAATGGAGAGACGGTTAGGTTAGCCTTCACAGTTCACTGCACGAAAGAGAGTCTTTATGTAAACCTTTATGTTGTTCAAGTTCAAGTCAACCAGCTTGGAGTCGTCGTCCTTGACGCGCTTGATCGACTCCTCCACGTCGGTGCCGTTGGGCGGGTCCATGGGGAAGAGCTTCTGCTGCGTGGACTTTGTGATGCCGTCCCAGCCCATGCCCACGGGCTGGCCCTTGTTGAGCAGCGAGGCGTGGTACTGGTCCTGGTTCATCATCGAGTGGAAGCCCAGGATGGCGGCCAGATCGATGATCTCCTCCTGCGTGGCGTCGTTCAGCGCGTGCTCATACTCGTCGCCCATGTCAATGGCAATCTGTTCCTCGGCCTCGATCTCGCGGGCGTCCCTCGGTGGTGGCACCCACTTCTTGCCACGCACCTTACCCTGGACATACGGCTCGAACTCCGGCTCGTCGGGCGTCTCGATGGCCTGCTTGTTGATGTGCTCGATCAGCTGCTTGCGATTGAGCGGACCGGTGGCATCCTTGGTGCACTCGTAGCTGCAGCGCTGATCAGGCGGCAGGAAGTTGTCCTAAAAGGGAAAGTGGATATCAGAAAGGATAGCCCTGGCATCTGCAGTAGGATTCTCACATCAGGATCCACTTCTTTGGCCAGTATGGTGATCTCTTCAGGGGAGAGCTGGGCCAGCAGGCTCTCCACATCCACATCATCGTACTCGCTCAGATCCTTGCCATACAGCTTGGCGGGAGTCGTGAGCGTGGTTGTCTTTGTGGTGGCTGAAGTCTGTAAAAACGAGAGGGAAATGGTGAGGAAATTGATTAGCAATCGATCATCAGAAAGGGAAAAGGCTCTCCCAATTGAGGGGCTAATTTGGTTTCCCTTTCCCCTGGTGATTTCCATTCTGGTTTTCACTTTTTTTCCCCACTCAGCTGCTGCGGCTGCTGCTGCAGAGAGAGCGAAAGTTGGCTTCTGTTTCTGGTTTTGCAGTGGAACGGCAGTGGCAGAGGGGACGGACTTGGACTTTCGAGGTACTTTTCGCACATTTGTCTGTGGCTTCAGCTTGAGGCTCGCTGGTGGCGGCTGTGGGGCGCGTCGCTTCACCTTTGGCACCGGCCGCAGCTTGATCTTCTGGAACTCGGCCTCCATGGGTGTCCGGGTCTGTTGCTGTCGCTGGGAATCGCAAAGAGGCGGAAGGCGGACACTCAGACCGCGAATCGATATGGAAAATTGAAAATCCAATTATGAATGCAACGCGCGTGGTGCGTTGGGGCTGTATCTGCAGCTCTGCAGCTCTCTGTGGCTGTGCGGCTGTGGTTGGGACTGGGTCTCGGCACCGACTGACACACTATAAGCAGCAGACTGCCGAATTAAGGCGAGCCGCAACGCCAGCAGACACAATCGTGCAACGCTTGCTGCAATCGCTCAAGTCAGTCATTGAGTCAATGAGGCAAAGAGGCATGGTAGCACAGAGGCAAGCGGCAAGCGGTAAGGAGGCAAGAGCCAGGCCAAGAGTCGAGTCACCGAGCCACTGAGTTGCTCCAAGAGTTGGCAATGTAAATTAGGGGCTCATGCAGTAGGCAGCAGGGCAGGGGAGAGGCAGCCAACTGTGGCATGACTCTGCGGTGACTCTGTCTGTTTGCACTTCAACGACTTCCACTTCGTCGCAGGCGGAGACGGAGGACTGTGAGGGGATTGTGGGGGTTCTCCAATTGATTGTGCAACACGAATTGCAACCGATTTCAACATAAATTAAGCCCAAATACTCGTAAACTTAAAGAAGTCAAACGGAAGTCGAAGCCACAACTGGGGATGGGAGAAAAAGCCAAAAGAAAGCAGGGAAAAGCATCAAAAGAAAACCCTATAATTTACATAAAACAATTGGACGAAGGCACAACAGAACAGAATCCCAGTCCGTTGAGGTTCTAGCAAGCAAAACGTGACCCAAACAAAGACAGACCCACTCGGCCGAGGAGACTCTCTTGGCCACACGAAACATTCAACATTTAAGCCGATTGCAAACCAGTTTCGGCTCTCGTGGGCACAGGGCAGAGTGACAGTGCCAGAGCCAGGAGGAACAACCAGACCATGCGGGACAGTGAGTGGCCATAAAACTCGAAGCTTAAACTCCTCTCTGCCACAGCAATAGCCAGAGCCATGTCTTGCCTGTTTGCTTAACGGGTGCACGGGTGAGGGGTGGTAGCCGGTAACCGGTTTCGTAGGTACAGCTTACAGAAACAGCAGAGTGCTGTGGCGACCGAAGTAATAGCAAAACAAACGCCACAAATGGAGCCACAGTTTGGAGTAGAAGTGGAGGAGCCTTTGTGGCGTACACTCCCAGAGATACATGTTGTACCTCTCAGATACAACTAAATGCCAGCAATTGACCTACTTTGAGTGCCGAAAGAAGGAAAGGGAGCGGTACGGAGGCAGAGGCAGAGGCACTGGCACTGCGATTATGTCAGCTTCTAATGGTCGAAGAACCCAACGAACGATTCAATTCGAGTGTTGACATTTCAATTGAGGACAGTGTCCACTCCACCAAACACCCCCTCCGAACTCAAAGCTGAGGCACGTCAATCCACTCTCCTTCCCACTCAATTTCAAGGCCTCCCCCTCGAGACACTATAGCTATAGCCTCGCGTGAAAAAACTGTAAACTGTAAAATCATAAAAAGTAATTGAAAAAATAATTGAGTTCACGGCACTCCAGAGACAGAGACACAGAGTCACAGACACATCTCCAATACACAGTCGGAGAGCGGAGAGAGAGAAAGATGAGCTAATAAATTTCAGAAACTGAGCAAATCTGAGGCGAAAGTCGAATCATTGGATACCCTATAAAAGTCGGGGACGAGGCGTTGTGTGTGAGTCGTAACATGGTATATGACGTACGAGGTACATGAATCCTCGGTCGGAAAAGAGAACATCGTTCCCCCCAAAGGAGCGCGGCTGTAGTTGGCGTTGGCAGTCGGAAGCATCAGAATCATCGTACCATGCAAATCTGCTGTAAACAAGAAGCGAACGTGGGTCGATGTACTATACATACATACTCGTGTCTGTCAGATGCGAGTCGTCAACACGTTTAAATGCTTGAAAACTGGCAACCGTCGGGCTGACAGCCAGGCCAGGCAGGGAGGCAGGCAGGCAGGCAGCTGTGGATCTGTGCATCTGTCAGACCGTTTTGAGCCAATTAGAAGTTGCGAAACGAATAAACTAAAGCCACTCTCCAGCAAGAGCCACTCTTTTGGTTCATTAATTAGAACGGGGTCTTGTAGCGGTAGATATACGACTACCGTCAAAGTGAGTACTTGATTTGAGGTCCAAAAGATAGCTTTCTGTGGCAACAGATTGATGTTTGAAATGTAAATTATGTGTGGAATCACATGACTGATGATGGCTAAGGGGAGATACTGGTCTTTCCTTTCAGAAATTGACTCCAAATCGGACTCCCAAATCCTCTAACATAAAGCCAACAGGTAATATCAGTACAGGGTATTGTGGGTACAAAGATACAAATGTATCACACACAACCGTAGTCAAAAACGAAAAAGAGGAACACACATCGGATATCAGATCAGGGGCATAGACCCACAAACAGAAACCACACACAGAAACCGGGTGGATGTGGATCGCCTCCTCCTAGTGACCCACAAATGAGACCGAAAAACGAACAAATGATACGATTCAAACATGTTTTTCGGTGATTTGCAAAAATGTATCTTGTATCATGTACTGTGTGGTGTTTTGGCATCTGGTGTCTGGTATCTGGCCTCCGACGGATGGGATGACTGCGTTGGGCGGTCGGTCAAGGTGCTTAGGCGATTTAATTAAGCGAAGCGGGACAAATGCCACGAAAAACAGCAGCAGCGGATGGCAATCGGCGGACAACGGTCACGTTTACAGCGAAAAATTTCACATTAACCGCAGAGTGGAAGGAAAAACACTGTGGAAAAACACACACACACACCTCCTAAAGTGCATGAAAAGTTGGTCAGACACGTCCCAAAAGCAGGTAGTGAGCGACAAGAGGAGGTGCTGGATGGAAGATGGCTAATGACTAATGGCTTGCAATGCGCGAAACGCGACCGAATCTGGCCTAAAGAGTGGACAGAGGGACAACATATGTATGCTGAAGCGAGTCTACAGATACGGCTACCAGTGCTGCCAGGAAATACTGCAACACTTAAGAGGAAGAGACGGAGAGGAAATCGTGGCAGGGGCAGGGGCAGGAAATTTCGTGCAAGAAACGTTAATTACATCTCGGCCAAGTTCGCTTTTATGGTCACAATTAGTCGTGAAAAACCAGAAACCGAAGGTGAAAAGATGCGTCCGCCTTCCGTCTCTCTGTTGAAGATGCTTCTGTGCATCTGTATCTGTGTATCTGTGTCTCGCTTTGAAGTGAAAATGTCGTTGGGGAAATACTTTCTTGTGGTTTTCCCCATTTTCCATTCTCCATTGATAAATTGTCATGTGTCGGATAACTGCCGTGACAAAGGCCTTCGAGCACTGCACTTCCTCCTCTGCCCGGAAAATATGTTTTATTGCTTTTTCCATGCCAATCCTTTGACAAAGTTTCCACCCCCACCCCACACCCACTCTTCACACGAGAGTTTCAGCATAAATCCGAAATATGCAAAGCCACTTTTCATATCCCAGCAGAAAAAACTATATGGAGGGGAGTCGTCTTCTGCCTACACTCAACAAAAACACTTGTACACATAAAAGTTTGATTTACTTTCAATTATATTCCTGTATGTTTTCGTATTTCATTCAATCTTTAATAGCTGTTAAATCATTTGTATTGGTTCATTCATATGTGAAGGGTTTTTCGGAGATTGCAAATAAAGGGCATTTGAATTCGTTATGAAATAAAAGGTGCATTATTGTTGTTGATGAGAGAGAGAGAGGAATAGAAGTTGCTAAGAGAGCAATAGAATGAAGCCATTGGGGGAGCGATGCGCATATTGTAAATTAAGTGAGGATCGGATTAAGAGATAAGACAATTGCGACTCGCTGCGATCGATGTAGATTCTACAAAAACAACAATACAAGAATTGAATTTGAACTAAACAGAAGGATATAGGGAATTGATGAGAGATCAAGAAAGAGCGTGTACATACATATGTATGTATGCATGTACTTGCTGATTGAAACATGCACCAAAAAAGAGAACTTTCGTTTTTGGAACTGAAACCACTTTTTTTGAGTGCATAGAGAACAAACTCTCATTGCCATTGACAGTGCCTCCCTACAGGGTGAAACTAGGGGGAACTGTCTATCCCATCACCCTGCCATATTCAGTGAACACCAATATGCTTTTATATGGCAATATTTTATGCAATTTGCATATGCCAGCAGCAGCAAGGGGCAGAAGAGCACCCAAGGGAGGAGGAGGAAGTGAAGGGAGGTCAACAAAGGGAAAGGGAACACCCCACTGATTTCTAGTTCTATTCTGCTGAAAGCCGAGACATTCGATGGTTGTTCCGTTTGACTGCATTCACAAATGGGGGACTCGAAACCAAAGCCAAGGCAGCGACAGACAGACGGACAGATAGAAACAGAAACCAGAAATCTATCTTTAAATGACAGTTGGCAATGCAGGCTTTTTCCAACCAACTTTCGCAACGATATACATACATATGTACTAAATTGAATCTGCAGCACACATAATGCACAGCTGTCGACAGGACAGGGACGGCGGAGCCTGTGTATACTCGTACTCGTAAGAAAAAGTGAAATTCGAGTCGTAGACGCATTTAGACAAAATGAGAAACGTGCGTCGCA